AAGAGGCACCAAAAGAGGCCCCCAAGGAGGCGCCCAAGGAGGCAGAGAAGAAGGACCCCAACGACGTCCTCAGGGAAGCAGACAGGGACCCAGATGTGAAGCGCAGGTTACGACGTGAAGTGATTGCTGCGGTCGCTGGGTTCGGCTACTAAGCCCTGTGTTCTTCTGTTTTTTCTGTCTGCGTTCTTTTGTTTTCGTTTTTTGCATGCTTTGAGATATCCCACATCGGAGAGGGACCCGGATGGTCGGACACGAGCAACGACACAGAGTGGTGTGGTCTAGTAGATATTGGCTCTGTCGCATGGAGAGAGAGAGAGAGAGAGAGAGAGAAAAGGGAACGTGTGTGAAGTTATCAAACTGAACGTTTGTGTGTGAGAGTGTGCGTTTTGTGTGTGTTGTCGCAGGATATGGTACGATATAGACCTTTTCTTTTTCTCTGTTCACTTTCTCAAGTACAAAGGTAGGCGTGAGCGGTCAACGGCGTCAGAGATGGTATCACAAATAGCCCCCCACTTTAGTAGTAAGGGCGAAGCAAGCAAGTAAGCAAGCAGCAGTTTTTGTCAACACAGTTCCTTGAGGCGAGCTGGACTGGCAGAAGAGTTATAAAAGAGTGTAATAAAATTCCATTTCATTTCTTCAAGTGCGTTCATTGTCATGTTGCTGGAGATAACAGGCCTACCTTCTACTGGCTGTAGGTCAATGTATGCTCTTTGGCTTCACTGGAAATTGAGTCTTGGTTTGATGTTCTGCGATGCTCAAATCCACATCGTCAATCCTTTAACACTGGAGCTCTGAACTTATTGTGATTGCGTCCATGCTTGCCTTGCCTTGCCTTGCCCTGCTTGCCCCTACCACCTTGATTAGTCCTTTCTCGCAGCTGCCGTTTTGTTTTGTTTACTTCGGATGGAAAATGTGACAATCACATGTTTGTGTGTGGTGGGGGTGAGTTGGGGTTGAAACATTCCCTGGGATGATGGAGTTTGGGGATGGTTTGCAGACGTCATTGGTCTCCAGCTACTATGACTGGTTCTGTTTACTGTGTGTATCCAGGTTTGGTTGCGGTATTGTCAGTGTTTGCGTGGTTTGTACACACGGTGGCTGGTTTTTGGTGGATGATGAATGATGTGTTCGAGATGTTGTTGAGCTTGTTTGAGTGGTATGTTGTTGGGCGTACGCTGCGTGGATGGCTTTTTGTGACACGTGTAGCTGTAAGGAGTCAATGGTACGGGATTCATCAGAGTTGTGGTGGCTTATACGCCTTTGATGAACAAGCATTGGCGTGACGCGGAAGACTCAGATACCAATTTACACGAAACAAATGTGACGATACGCAAAGTCATGATATTCAAAAGATGCAGCTACCCATAATTACAACTCCTCAGTCACCCACTTGTCCTGTGCGGACCACTTCTCCTCGTACGAGCCCCATGAGCTCTTGAGCGCCGTCGCCTTGAAGTCAAACGTGATGCCATTTGAGTTTGAGCCGCCCCGCGTGATGATGATGCTGTCGAGCGGGTTCTCGGTGAAGTAGAGCATGGTGCCGGCCTCGACGCCGCCGTTGACGTAGACCTCTAGGATGGAGCGGTCGATGACGCCGTGCAGGTGGAACTCGACGTTGGAGCTGGACCCCTCCTCAGAGGCGGCCTCGAGGGCCTGGACGTCCGAGATGCCGAAGCTGCCGGACCGGTCCCAGGCGTTGCTGGCGCGGGCGATGTTAAGGCTCGCCACGGGGGCGGCGCTGTTGGCGCTGCCGGTGAATTGGAAGCCGAGCGAGACCTTCTCGGAGCCGTTGGACTGGGAGCCCTGGAAGGAGAGCTCCGCGGAGGCGGTGGAGCCTTCTTGGAGGAGGGACTTGGCCATGCGCACGGTCAGCGTCCACTCGACAGCCGGGTTGAACTCGCGGATGACGGAGCTGGTGCCCTCGATGCCGGCGACGTCCTTCTCGTCGATGATGGGGTTCCAGCCGGCGGTGGTGCTGGCGAGCTTGGACAGGTCGCCCGCGGGGACGGAGACGAGCTTGTTGGTGGCGGCGTCGAGCCAGTGGCGGCGGACACCTCCCATGCAGTGGCGCCAGCCTTCCCCGTCTGTCGGGGTGCAGCAGCCGTACGAAGTAGCATCTACGGCCCATGTGACGGAGTACGCATCACGGCCTGCGTCGTTGTCGTCCTGGAGGTGGAAGAAGGCGGTGGCGTAGTTGTCCGGGCCAAAGTCGAAGTCGTGGATCGCGAAGCTGTCTTGTCTGGCTTCAACGCTTCTCCGTGAGACGGGCCCGTCGGGCGTGTAGGTGGTGCCGTCCCAAGAGCCGGTGAGGTACGACACCTCGGCGCCACCGGTCGGCGAGCCGCCGCCCAAGCTCAGAGTCAAAACCCACTTGGAGCCGACAATCTTACCGCTCTTGTCCTTTGTGGGAATCTGAAGAATCTGAGGGCACTCGATGAGACCGATGTTGCGCCCGGGGTTCCAGATGGACACCTGCGTCCAGTGGACGAGGTCCGACGAGGTGTAGAAAGCCACCTGGTTCTCCATCGACAGAACCATGACCCAGGTGTTTGACTCATGGTGGAAGGACGGCTTCGGGTCGCGGAAGCCGTGGCGGTTCAGTGAGATAATGGGGTTGCCTTCATACTGAATGAAGGTCTCGCCGCCGTCGTACGACCAGGCAAGATGCTGGGACTCTTGGTCGGGCTCCCACGACGTGTAGTAGGCGACAATGTTGTCCTTGCCGCTGGTCTGGTTGGAAGGGAACAGGCCGGAGACGTTCTCCTTATCGACGACGACGCTGCCCGACCAGATTGAACCATCGCGCGCCGTGGCAGGGATGGCAACGGGGTGGTCGACCCAGTTGTAAAAGTCGGTGGCCGTTGTGTGACCCCAATTCTTCACGCCGGACCCCGGCACATTGTCGGCATCTGCGGACAGTTAGCAGCTGATTCTTCACGACGTCTGAAATAGGCTAGAGCCTCATCCACCAACGGTGTTGAAGACAAGAAAACGGGGGGCGGGTGCGGAGGAGGAATGCACTGTCTCATTGCGCCCGAAATGCGGGGTGACGCTGCAACGCTCATCATCGCGCATGTGATGTTTCCGTCTTTGGCAGGAAGCGCAACCCTCATGGCAAACGGGACACTAGCACGTGTGCAGAATGCAGATCCAATGAGGCGGGCGGAAACACGCCGTCGACATTGGTTGGGTAGACGCAGCTTCGTGTCTGCGACGTTTGTTCCACAACTCAAAACAGACGAAGAAGCAGCAGCAGCAGCAGGAAAATGGATTGGTTCATTGAGATGTGAGGTGAAGAGGGCCAACATGAAACCGAGTGAGAGAGGCGGGCGAGAGGGCAGGCTTACATTGGTAGTACATGTGCCAGACGCCGTCTGAATCAACAAAGAGGCCGTTTGGGTCGTTGAGCCAGTTGGCGGGTGGTGAGAAGTGGATCTGGGGTCGCCATTTGGCGGATCGGTCGGCGGCGGCCATTCTCGCGGGATGGGCGGAGGAGGCGGAGGCGGAGCGTCTGAGTTCCTGGGAGACGGGGGGATGTCTTGACGATGCTGACGGTGCGTCAGGGAAGAGTCCCGGGAGAGCGAGAGCGTGTGTCGTGGGCGGTGGTGAGAGCAATGTCGCCAGGAGCGATGAAAAGAAGAGATTCTGCCGCATGGCTGATAGCAGGCGAGTCCGGCTCCCCGTTCCTTAATAGAGAACCAGTGTCAAACTCTCTGGGCGAAACGGTGCGGGTAGGGGGGTTGGATGTCCCTGATCGACAGACTTCGGATGGATTGAGTAGCGGAACGTGTCAGCGAAAAGGCAGAGTGACTTTAGGACGAAGCTTGTAAGAGTGAGGCGCAGCCGTATGTATGTAATTCAGCTGGGGCGCCGGGCAGTTGTGAGTTGTGAGAAGCTGAAAGAATGCTTTGTATTGTTGTGGACGTCTAGCAAGTAGAGGCAGAGAGATGTATGTAGAGGCAGATGGACAGAGAGATGTTGAGTGATGGGATGGATCGTGGGCGTCGTCAAGAGAAGACGGGAGCTATTTATCAAAAGCGCCAGACTCAAGCCCGTCCACCTCGGAAGGGACCCTTTTTTTTCTTCTTTTTTTGTTTTTTCTCTTCTTGTTCTTTCTTTCAATCAAAACATGCAGCTGCCAGTGCCTTAGCAAGCAGAAACAGCAACGGCGGCCAAGTGTTGTAGCCGTACCTACCTAGTGCCATTGCCTTAGCTTGGCCGTCCGCCGCTGCCTCAAGTGCAGCAGTAGTCGCACTGGAGAAAGCTCTGGCCTGGCACCGCGGCACGCCAAGAGCAGAATGGAGGAAAGGGTGGGCATCACACACCAAAGACAGGTCTCATGACTCTGCGGGCATCTGGCAGGTGGCTGGCTCTCGTGGCCCCTTCCACTTCCAGTGTCTCTCTGAAGTGCTGCTTACCACCCCCGCCAGCCTTCTCCAACTCCTCCATGTCTCTACCCCAATTGCCCAAAAGAAGCGACAACCAGAAGAAACGACGGGCAAAGAGAAGAACGCCATCCTTACAGACGGTGAACACACCCCGCAATGGCAAGGCCCGTTCTCGGTGCTGTCCCCCCTCCCCCCTCACCCGTCCCCCGGATCTTCATTGGTCGCATGGCCAGGATTTCCGTCGCCAGCGCTGCCTAGTGCCTGGGCGCGGCCGGGGGACTCAGCGGCCTCTGCTGCAGCGGGACACCATGATGGAACCATGTTTCTGGGGAAGACATGCGGGGTTGGAGGGCAGCACTCGGACTGGATGGAACATGACAAGAGATAAACAATGGCCATGTGAGCGACCGACGTTGTTGCTGATGAAGCCGTTGATGGTGATGTTGACTTCGAGAGGGCCCTAAGGAATGGGAGCGAGACACAGACAATGACGAACAAAGGAGCCGAGGTGTTCGTCTTCTTCACCAACAGGGAGAGAGGAAAAGCGGGGTCCTGTTTCAATCCCCAAGCGGTGCCCCTCACTAATTAGCAGGAAACAAAGACCCTTCAACAATGCTGCGTAACGCCAGAGATGCCCTCTTCCCCCGTCTGCTCGACTGGACTGGTCAGTCGTTCTCGCGGAAGCCAAGACGGACCGGGAGGGAACATACTGGGAGAGAAATGGCGGTGTCGTCTCGGCTTCTATCTTCTCCGGACAGAGTTGGATTGCGCTGTTTGCTTCCTCTGCAACTCTGCCAATGCCATCGAGCGGTCAGATGGTGATGCCGTCATTGACGTGCTTCGGATACGTATCATCGACATCCAATCCAAGTGATCCAATGCATGCTTCGATCAAATTTTCTAGATCACCTGGAAGGGTCAAAAATTAAAAACTGTAACGGCGCGCGAGATCTGAGCGAGACACGGATCGGCGCCGAGTCAAGACATGGCGGCCACGCGACTCCCGGGCCCTACCGCCCTCGTCCCTTTGAACATCACCCGAGTCATGATGCCAAGGTCACCCGTCGGCCGGCACTTGCCTGACGTTACTTCATATATGCATCGCGAGTCTTTGCTCGGGGCTCACGAGATGGCGATGATCTTTTGTCCGTCTCATTTTTTTTCTGTTCGTTGATGATGACGACGGCGAAGATGCACCGCGAACCCTGGTGAGATGCAGACTTCTGCGAGGGCCACGAGACGATGACACCTTTGAGGACGGAGGACGATGCAACGTCCGCTAGACTAGCACCGGTTGATGGCCTCATATCGGACCAACGTCGGCATCCAACGCTGTTGCTGGAGGCACCGATGAGGTTTCCGGGGCTAAAAGACGCGGTTTCCCTCGGTCTGGCCTCTGTGCTGGCCGTCGCCGTGGACGTCGTGCATGCCAAGGTCACTCTCTCCACGAGCTTCGTTGCCTTGATGGAATCAACATCTTGCCCGACCTGACGTGTCGCTCACGTCGTTGGCTGCTTCTGGAGATTGCAAGTGTCCAACGAGATTTTGGGTCTCTGCGGGCGTTCAGACGACTTCCTCCCTCAACTCATCAGACACACCGCTGCCCCAAGAGTTTATGCGGTCCATGATCAGACAACACCAACATGCAGATGCAAGATGCACCCCGTCGGCCGTCCGCTGCCAGGGCAACTCAGTCATACCGCGCGTCGTATCATGCGCGAAGACCGTATTCATGCTGCTTGCATCCCATTCGGACGACGTCCGCGTCTCTGTTCCTGCTTCTCGTAGACAGAGAGACCCGCTCGCGGCCCGGCCTGGTGCGTGTCTTGATGCCCATCCCATCCCGCCCACATGCGGAGAGATGCCTGGCCGGGCCGGGAATATTTAGCCTCGCGACGGATCGGTTAAGATGCGCGCTATTGATGGGACTGCCGTCGAGGCGCCGCATTGCGTGACGGAGATCTCGGGGGGGGTCCACTTCGGGCTGGGCTGGGATGGACTGGACTGTTCCGTGTCAGACTTTTGCCTGCCACATTTCCGATTACCGCGCACTCGGCGCCATGTTGTTATGTAAGTCAAGTGCTTGCGGGCGGGATTAAGATATCTAGTGTCGTCGCGAATGGGTGTGAAGGTGAGTCTGCCTCGAATCACCTCACCCGGAAGTTGTCCAGAAGAGTCCTTTATTTCCTGAAAGTCCCGACGGAAACGAGGCGAAGCACCGCGCCAAGTGCGTTTACTGGGGAAGGCGATTGCCCCGAGATATCAGATGAGCTTGATCCTGCCAGGGCCCGCGGCGAGCAGCCAATGGCGTCCATCATGAACGGGGGCGAAGTATCGAGTGAGGTTGTCGCTGAGTGGGAGATGGCTGATGAGTGACATGTCATCGGAACTCTCGCTTGTGGTGGATTGCGGTAACCGACCAGACGGATTGCGACCGAGACTGCATCCGTATCTTATCTCACCGTTGATGATGGGTCTGATGTTGTTGGTTTACGCTTCTTTGATTCCTCATTCTCTCGCCCCGGGAAGCCCCTCAGGCCTTGTTCCAGACCTTTGCGGCTCGCTGGGCCGTACCCGTGTCGCGCTGCGGCCCCCCCATCCGCCGGCGGCTTGGTGGGTGATGACTGATGACATCCATGGCGATGGAGGGCTGCCGCAGCGGGCGAATGAAGAAGGCTCCCCTGCCTCACTCGATGCCTCTGGCGGAGCGGAGCCCAACCTACCTATCTACCTAGGTAGAGAAAGTACTAGGTAAGGTAGGGTGAGTGACGAGTGAGAGGCGCTGGGCAGTCATGCAGGCTGCCCCAGTTTCCTGTCTCTGGCGATGCATAATTGGCCCGTCTGCTGAAGTAGTCACCCACACCTGCAGCCGTCGAGCCAATGGGCCAACCTTACCTTCTGTTAGTGCGGTTAGGTGCTGGTTTTGCTACCTTAGTCGCTCTGCCTTTCCACGTTGTTTGGAGTGGTTTTTGAGGCCCCCCCTCGTCTTCGAATGTTGCACCGCCCCGCCAGATCCAACGCATCGAATCTGCTGCTGCGCTTTTACTTAAGGGCGCCACGGCCCGGCTCCTTGTCCGCCCTCGTTACGAATACAGACTTATTCTCCGCCGCCCACTCCTGCGCAACCCGAGATCGCCAAACCCGGTCCAACCTTACCGTACCCCGCCGCCCGCTTTTGAGCCTCACGTCCCGAGAGCTTGTTTGCTCGAAAACTCACCTGGTACCCGAACTCGGAAGGAAGATATACCTACTTGGCAATAGATCGTCGTCGACAGAGATCCTGAACATTATTCACGGATCAACACCACCCCCCGCCGCTCACATCTTGTCGGAATGGCCCGATAGCATCACCACTCCCCAACATCGCCTGCCCGTTGCAAAACACCCATACCTCTTTGGTAGCCTCCCCGGAGTATCATCACCTATTCTGAGAACCGCATGCGGGGAATTTCCCCGCCTATTCTTTGACTCGGTCAAAGCACCCTCACCCCCAGGGCTAGCTGTTGCCTCTGGACCGTCACAACCGCCTCATCTCTGGCCTTCCTAGCGGGAAGTCGCCTTGCTTGTCGTGCATCTGATCTCACCGGATCAGACTTCCACTACCTCAAACAAACAAACCCCCATCTCCCACGGTGGCGTTTTACCTGGACACCAGCATACAACCCAACCTAGTGGACTCTTGTTACTGCGTGTTACTCGGGAACGACATCTGCTACTGCGAGCACTACTACGCCAACCCGACGACGACGTCCCTCAAACTAGAATCCGTCACGGATCCACCCATACCCCTACTATCACCCGCGTCTCCCACAGCAGCCGCGCTAGGTCTAGACCTACCGCCGCTGCCCTCATCATGGAGATCACCTACGGCACCTGGTGTCATGGAGTGTCCACTCGCCACCCCCTCCTCTTCTTCGGAGTCGAGCACGAACCTGCTGAGCCCCTTGAACCCCGAAATCGCCGAAAATGAGTGCGACAGGGCGAGCGACAGCGGCCTGACGACGGCGAGCAGCAGCAGCGGTGATAACAACTTCTGCAGCGCCGTGAGCCCCGTCGCCGCCGCCGCTCCCGCTGGCCTTGTCGGGGGCACCATTGATATTTCGAGATTGCGGTTTGAATGCCGCTGGAACAGTTGTGGAAAGGTTTTTCGACGGCCGAGTGATTTGACGTGAGTTTTGTTTCCTCTTACTTTAAGACCCGACTAACGAGATGGACACAGCAAGCATGAGAGGTACCACATCAAGGAGTACCGCTGCGACGAGACCGGCTGCGACAAGGCCTTTGCCACGCAAAAGGACCTCAAGCGGCACAAGAAGACGCACGAGACGCTCGACGGCGACAACGCCGGGTACCGCTGCCGCGTCCCCGGGTGCCGAAAGGCCAAGACGGGGCATGTGTACAACCGGCGCGACAACTTTGTCAGGCACCTCCGGACAAAGCACGTGGGCATGGAGTTCGACGTTTAAGAGGAGGTTGAGATGATGGTCTGAGATGAGAGCTTGTTAGAAGAGGCCCTCATCCAAAAGGACATCGAAAGGAAGTGAAGACTTTTGTGTTTCTTTCTCTCGAGCCAAGTCAACAACAGTTCTTACTCTTGTTGAGTTGAAATTTCCTATTTTTGGTGGGCAAATTAGCTCAGTGGGATTTTGCTGGACGGCCAAATGGGTTATGACAGACATGGGTTGGCAACTGTGCTCTTTTTTGTTTCTTCTTCAGATACCTGTTTATGCCTTTATGATTCTTGGACGGGCTTATGAGCTAGCTTTGGAAGGTTTCACGGCCGAGGATATGGCAGGGAGGGTAATACCAGTATAGAAAAGGTCTTGGTTCATTCGAGACTTCATCATTGATTTGAGCCGTTTCATTTCATGTACCCAATTTTTGAACGTCGTAGACACGGACGCGAGCAAGCGTCATCGCCCCTTCACTACCTTATCAACCAACCTAACTCCAATTCAAATACGAGCAAAGGCTTGTTCAACCGGCAATGTGACAGAGCCGCCCCGCGATTTTCACACTGCTAGACAATGACGACAGCAGGTGCTGACAGTCTCAGAGGCTGGCTGCATGTATCTTCCTAAGGTGATTCGAGGAAATCGTTGTGCAGATGCTGCACACCATCACGTGGGACGGTGGTCTGCAGGAGACATGGGGTATGTGATGTTGTGGCGCAAGCCCACGAACGATGCATATCTTGGGCGCTGGCTGCCTCAGCCTGATCTCCCTCAACTCATAACTCCGACACTGTCTTGCCAGATGTCTTTTGTTCACCATCTCTGATTCTCTCATCGATCCCATGGAGGCACTCGCAGCGATATCGCTGGCGGGGAACTTGGCCCAGTTCCTTGAGCATGCGTTGAAAGCGGTATCCAAGACACGTGAGTTGCTGAAAAACTCAGACAGTAAGCTTGACGAGAACCTCGATCTGGAGGAAATCGCCCAGGATTTCAAGTATGGATTCGCCGAGAAGCTAGGAAAGCTTCAAGTCGAGATCGATAGACGTGAAGCTAAAGATGCGACTTTGAAAGAAGCCATCACGATCTTGATTGAAAGGAAGCATAAGCGAAGAAGACTCAAGAAGGAATTGGGAACTATTGAAGAGAAAATAGAGCTTGAGGGCAAGCTTCAGGCGATCGCCAAAGACGCAACAGACTCTTTGAACATGATCGACTTGGACTCGAAAGGCAGCGATGACATCATTTCAAGCCTCGAGTTGCCGTTGAGTGGTTCTCGCGCTGCGGAGTATGACGTCCTGCAGGGACTGATGACCAGAGGTCTGAACGTAGCTGGCGAGATTTTGGGCATCTTGAACGGCCTCAAGGTTTCAGACACACCCAACACAGGGATATACCTTAAGATCAAGATCATCTCGAAAACTCTGTGGAAACAAGCGGAATTACAAGAACTTCATGACAGATTGGATACTCTTCGAGCACAGATATCTACTCATCTTCTGGCCTTGTTATTGTAAGTCATTTCGCTACGCTACCTCGCGTCGATATAAGTCTGCGGCAGTTGAACCTTCTCGTTAACATCTTCGTAGGGAACAGCAACGGAGCATGCATCAAGATTTGCGAATGGCATCATCGCAGAACGGAAAGAATTATGCCGAGCTGAATGCCAAGCTTGACATAGCCCTTCGCCGAGCCCAATACGCCGCCAATCGAAAAGTCCCCATAGAGGATGATGGTGCCACAATTTCTTACCCTGAAACTCCAGATTATCAAGGAGAAATGCAGAACTTTAGGCTCGAAGGAGTTGTTGATCATTTACGTAAAATGTGGACATTGGAGAAGCATAAAGGGATCTTGGACAGCCTATACTACAGCCAACTCGAGGATAGAGAATGGGCTATCCATGAAGCCCACGGGAAAACGTTCGAGTGGATTTTCGAAGCTGATTCTGCTGACGACGATGTCAAGAAGAACAGTGTCAACTTCATCGAGTGGCTCAAGCACGGGGACGGCGTATTTTGGGTAACTGGTAAAGCTGGCTCTGGAAAGTCCACCTTGATGAAGTTCTTGACTCACCACCATGAAACCAAGCGCCTCGTGCAAAAGTGGGCAGGAAATGCCGATTTGCTCCTTGCTCAGCACTACTTCTGGAGTCCTGGAACTGCCATGCAAAAGTCGCAACAGGGTCTGCTGAGGGGGCTGCTGCGGCAAGTTTTTAAACAGCGCACAAGTCTTATTGGCGAGGTCATTCCCGATCGATGGAACTCTCCCTATATCAACATGTTCGATCCTTGGAGGCGGTCAGAACTTGTCAAGGCGCTCGAAAAGCTGGGGACAATGGCCCAGGCAGAATGGAGAATTTGTTTCTTCATCGACGGCCTCGATGAATACAGCGGCGACCAATTTGAACTAGCCAACGACATTTTGCGCATGGGGAGATCGCCAAATATCAAGATATGCGCCTCGAGCCGGCCCTGGAACGAGTTCACCGATGCCTTCGAGCATTCCGAGTGGAAACTATATCTGCACGATCTCACGCGGGACGATATTCATATGTTTGTCAAAGACAACCTTCGGGACTCCGACAAGTTCAAGAGGCTCCAGCAGAGCGACGGGGTCGCGGCCGAAAAGTTGTCGCTGGAGATCACTGACCGAGCCCAAGGTGTTTTCCTCTGGGTTTTCCTCGTTGTGCGATCCCTGCTCCATGGGCTCATGAACGAGGATGACATCCAGGATCTCCGGAAGAGGCTGCGAGCGCTTCCCACCGATCTCAAAGAAACATTCAGTCAGATGCTGAACAACATAGATGAGTTCTACCGGAAGCGGACTGCTCGGTTGTTTCTCACCCTGGCCCACGCGGCGACCTCGTTCCCGGTTCTTGCCTTCCACTTCATGGATTTTGGCGACAAAGCCCTGTCCAAAGAACCTCTACCCTTCCTGAGGTATTGGCCGGACGTCGACAAGAATGCCGAGCTGTTGCAGGCGATGGATCGCAAGAAGCGACAACTGATAGGACAGTGCAAGGACCTCATTTTCATCACGCCCGTCCCAAATGCGCCCGACCTCTTCAACGAACGAGTTGGGTTTCTGCACAGGACTGTTGTCGATTTCATCCAGACCAGAGACATACGAGCGCAGCTTGAAGACGCCGCGGAGGATTTTAGCCCTGACAAAGTTCTCCTCGACGCCAACGTCGGCCAGCTTAGATCCTTGATACACCAGCACCGACTCTCATACATCCGCCCACGCCTAGGCCAGTGGGTTTTGGGGGCTTTGTATTATGCGCGCAGAGTAGAATTTATGGCCAGGATCCCTGCGGTCGACGCACTGGACGACCTCGAGGTCATCATCATGAGCGTCTTTGCAAGATGGGGGTTCGGACACGCCATGACTACGCTGCTTCCGGGGGGTCCCAGGAGAACAACTTCCGTAACCTCTATCTCGTCTTTCATGGATCTTGTTTGCAGGTATGACTTGGCGTTGTACGTCAGCTGCAAGTTACCAGACGTGGACATTGAACGACTAGACACGTTGGCGCCAAACTGGAGGGCTCGGGTGGATATCAAGCGAAGCTCAGGCTTTGAGTTGTGCGATCTGGTAGAAGGAGACTATGACACAGAATGGAGGCTTTGGAAGAAGGCACAATCTTCGCTCTCGTCAGAGGATATGCCGGCTGGGATGGTTGCGCAGGCAGCGATTCCTTGCGAATTCGCTTCGCCGCCGAGAAGTCCAAAATTGTGGGTTGAATTTGGCCTCACAAGTGAAGACGGCGCGAAGGGAAGGCGCAGGAGGTTCTCTGCGAAGTGGAAAGGGCTCCTTCGAGGCGGATGAGATCATGTCGAGCATGTTCAGTCGGCGGTGGCAACGTGCCGTCGAGCGTACGCAACGTCCTGCATTGTCAAACACCGAGGGTAGCAGCAAGCCATCACGGAATCGAGCCGCCAGGTTGCGTCGTGAAATCAGTGTGGCATACAACACAGTCCGTCCCCAACACGGGAAAACCGGACCAACACCTCGTACATCTCTACAAACCAATCGGGTTTTGACAGCTGAGGTTTCATTGAAGATGAACACGCGTTTGCAACCATCAGCAGAAACGTTGTTATGCTCCGACGAACGCCGCCCCAATCGTACAAGTTTACGTTTCTTTGGACCCAAGGGCATCGACTCTTGCTTGCAGTTGCATTCCGCGGGGCAGCACACGATTCAAAGCCGGCAACTATTCGCGAGCCATTGCGACGGTGTTGGTGGGCGGTGGGATTTCGTTTCGACAACCCCAAGGTTCGGGAAATTAATCATTGCGTGATCGGCGTTTACCCCGGCCAAATGGGGAACCACTGCACCAGCCACTGCACCTCAGCATCACTGACGAGGTCTGACATTCAGCGACGGCAACGTTGAGAAAAGCCGACTCTGAATCACTCACCGCACACCGAACCTGATTTCCGCCTCGGTGAAGGCGCAAACTCGCCCCCCGTTTCAGGTCCAAAAGCAGAAAATCAAAGCACCCTCGCAAAGCCCCTCTCCCTCCCCACGATTTCCACCACTCCATTAAAGAACCCAAGACGGCCCATCCCGTATTCCCCTGGCAGTGGACAGATTTGGCCGCCCCCACAGAGGAAAAACAAAACAAAACAAACACCCAGCAGTGAAGAAAACGTGTCACCCCTAATCAGTGAATCACCAGGGTTTGACCCCCCAGTTTCCTCTTTTTACCTTTTCATCTCGCCCCTCTTCCGCTGTCAGAGTCGCATATCAAGGAGAGCCCACCTCCAACGCCCCTGTGTCCTGCGTCGTTGGGTAGCATTGACTTAATCTCGCCATGCTCCACCCAAGACCACTCGGCCTCATCAAAATCAGACGCACCACGCCCGAGCGAATGTGACTGTAAACAAAAAAACTTCCGAGGAAGAAGAAGAAGAAAAAGAAAGGGCGGAAATTTTTAAGCATAATACCCTGAATTTCGGCAAGTGAGATGGCGAAGAAGAACACCGACAGCGCGGAGCTGGCGCGGAGGCTTGACGGGCAGGTCATGGTCATACCGGACCTAGGGAGGTTGATGGGCCACTGGCCCTGCGGGAGGAACGCGCACGCCTCGGACATCGAGGGGCAGGTCGGCGAGTTGCTGGATCGGTGAGGCTTCTTGTGGTGTTTTCAGAAACCGGCAGCGTGGAACTAATGAGATGCAGGACGGCGTCGCCCAGGGACAGGGAGAATGTTGAGGAGGCGAACCCGGCTTTGCTCGCGGCGTGGTAAGTTGTGACGTTCCGACTAATACCTTTGGCAGCGCTTGCTGACTGCGAACAGTCTGTGGCCCAATGTGTCGCTGGAGCATCTGAGGACGTTGACACAGATGGTCCTTTGGCAGGGACGGCTCGATGACTACATCGAGGCGTTGGAGTACGAGAACTCGGAGCGGGCGAGGGAGTTCCGGGCCAAGACCAAAGAGTACGTTGCGCAGTATCTCCAACTTTCGGATCTGCCGCGGGAGCCGCCTGCGACGAGTGCCATTTCGGATTTCCAGCAGGTAGCGCAGGTGATTTGCCGGTACTATGACCAGGGTGAGTGATATGTCGTCTATCTGCCCGGGGAACCGGGACCGGGAGCTGAAGAGGCTGACGATTCAGTAGACCAGCGGAGGGCTCTGAGGGTCAGCTTATTCGAGTACATTGATTCGACGGTGTCGGAAATGCGGTACATCCAGAGCGGGGAGGTGCCGACAGACCGGTACTACGAGGACCTGCGGAAGAGGACGGCGGGTGCTGGGCCGCTTTGTGCTTTGGCTGAGTGAGTTGCCAGAGTTGCGTATTGACACGGGGTTTGCTGATTGGTGCAGGTTTGTTGCGGGAGTACAGTTGTCTGGGCTGGTCACTGGCTCGATCCCATACAAGCTCATGCTTGAGGCTGTCAGTGTCATTATTGGACTGTGAGTGAAGGTGAATCTAGGTCGAAGGTATTCAGAGGCTGACAGACCCAAGGACGAACGACTTGCTCTCATTGAGCAAGGAGCTGGTAAGTGATGGCAGTGGTTTTGTGGGTTGCTTTGTTTTCTGACTGTGGGGCAGAGAAAGGGTCGAATCTTCAACGTGGTGCCGGTGCTCCTGTGGAACGGCGAACGCGGCGAGCTGGCGGAGGTCGTCGAGCACGTGGTCGGAGAAATCGAAAAGGCCGTCAAGAGCTTCGACGTGTGCGAGTCGAGGCTCATCCGCCAGTACCGGGGTGAAGCGGACCACATCCGGCTGGTGGCTGAGGCTCTGAAAACCGTTTGCACTGGCAACTTGGCCTGGAGGTAAGTGAAGCTCCCTTTATCTCATTAAAAATATCGCTAAGCTCCCGGGTAGTCTGGAATCGAAGAGGTACAGAGTGGGCGAGTCGGGTGAGGACGGCAGTTTGGAGCATGTGTTGAGAGCTCCCTGAAGACGACAACGACAGGTGAACAGCAGATGGGCAGCAGATGTCGGAGAGTTGGATGGTAATGAGCCCCCGGTGATCGTAGAGAAAAAAGAAGGCCGCGACGGCCAGAGTAGAATACCCTAATGATGAAATGATACCCAAGCCCCGATAGTCGATGCAGGTGTTCGAAAACGGCAACGAGCTGAGGCCGATGTCGACGCGGCCACCGGCGCGCGAGAACCTTGACAGATGCTTGGAAGTGGAAAATTGGAAGGAAAAAGAAAGGTGAGGCTTTTCGGGATGCTTGATATAATTTGACGGCCGCACGGGCGGTTGACCGTTTTTACGAAAAGGTTGCGAAATGGGCGTCGTTGGCCGTGTCTCACAAGGATGATTGTGAGCACTTTGGGCTGTCCCGGGGGGGCCTGCACGTCGCTGTGATGTCATGCTGCAATTTCCCAGCAGCGTCTCAATTGAGCCCTCGGTGCAGGTGCAGGTGAGGAGACACTAAACCAAACCTGCCCCCCTGCTTGAGGTGCTTGTCCTTGCTTCTGAGGTGCCCTGCCCCTCCCAAGCTTTGCCTTAAGCTTTCAGCTTGAGAGACAGAAGGAAAGCTCTGAGAAACATTAACTCATCCATCATCCCGCTCTTTCTCTCATCTCATCGCATCAATTGCATTTTCAACCATTACACACATCTACCTACACACACAATCACATATACAATGGCTTTCCGCGCTGCTGCTAGAAGAGTCGCCCTCGCCCGTCCCGCGGCTGCAGCCAGGGCGTTCCACTCGACGCCCCGCGCCTTCGTCAAGGTCGGCGACGCGATCCCCGACTTGCCGGTGCTGGTCGAGAACTCGCCGGGCAACAAGGTCAACCTGGCCGAGGAGTTTTCCAAGGTCAAGAACGGGCTCATCATTGGTGTCCCCGCGGCCTTCTCGCCCGCCTGCTCGGCCACTCACGTCCCGTCGTACATTAACCACCCGAAGCTGAAGGAGGCCGGCTCCGTGTTTGTTGTGTCGGTTAACGACCCCTTCGTGTACGTTTATCTTGGGGTTGGGGTTTCTAATCGAGGACTGCATATTGACAGGTTTACAGGATGAAGGCGTGGGGTGAGCAGTTGGACCCTGCGAGCCAGACGGGCGTATGTTGAGTCTTTTCGGGGATTTTGTTGAGAGATTGTGTGCTGAATGTGTCGCAGATCCGGTTCTTGGGTGACCCGACCGCCGAGTTCACCAAGGAGCTTGAGCTCGACTTTGACAGCGTCGCCATCTTTGGCGACACCCGCGGCAAGAGATACACTCTTGTCGTCGAGGACGGCAAGGTCAAGGAGGCTCACGTCGAGCCCGACAACATTGGAACCAAGGGTGAGTAGATGGCTGCGCTGTTTGCTCCAACCATGGTGACTGACAGCTTGGACAGTTTCTCTGGCCGATACGGTCCTTGCTTAAGCTCGAAAATTGTCTCTGGGCAGAGAGGAGGTCAGATGGAGTTCACGCTCACCAAACTGTTGGGAAAAGATAGATTCAGGATATCGGCGTAGACTAGGAGAAATGTGAGAGCGTTGACCTCTACCACCCGCCAATCAAACCTTGCCGCCACATGGAAATGCTATGCAGTCAGCCATGTTGCCCAATCAATAGCCAGTTGTCGTCAAATTCATGAGGCTCTGCAGGCGGTCACAGCCTGCCGAGATATGTATCCCTGGTCTCGCCTTCAGCACGGAGGGCAGACGGAACGGGATCAGGTCATGAGACGAAAGCCGGCTGGGAGGACCCGACTTCCATGGCCGGCGCCGGCCAAACCGGAGCCACATGTTGCCGGGCCGTTCCCGCCTGACAAATGCTTATCAGCCACCGGCACGCTTATCAAGCCAGCTTCAGGGGTTTATCGATAAGAGTGACAAGACTTGATGACGGCGGGGCCGAAGACGGTGGTGCGGTGCATGGCGCTCAGGGCAAGTCAGGAGGCGCCATGCAGGCTGCAGCCAGGCAGGGAGGACACTTGGGGGCAGTTGGCAGTACCCGAGTTGAGGCCTCAAAGTTGCATCAGAGGGGCATTGACGCTGCTTGCTCATTGACAAGGAGTCACCTGCACATTGTCGGATGCAGCCACTGGACAGACTGCTTTGCAGAGACTGGCACGAGGGCTGCTGAGACGAGACTTGACTGGCCTTTTAATAGCAGTTGATGAATCGACCTCGACTTGCAGGCCACAGGAATGCCATGACATACTGTGCAGTACCTTAGGTAACGCCATCCAGAGAGCCAAAGCCAACCAACCCCTCTGTGCCCCTCTGTGCCACAGAACTTCACAATGCTTGGTGCAGTTGCATCATCTTGGACAATGAACCCCTAGGTGGCGCTTGCTTCTGGTTCCCCCAGATTCATCAAAGCCGGAAAGAGGAGGAAGGTGCCTTGAATTATTGGAACTCTAAGAGGGCCGAATGACGCTCAGTCGGTGCATCTACCATTATTGGCAGTGAAAGTTGAAAGTGGAAAGTGGTGACCGGTTGTTGGTCATGAAGCAAGCACACTTCCTCCTCGACTCCCAACCCCAGGCAGACACTCAGTCAGCCAGCCCACTTAAAAGCCAGGCCCCGGGAGCATCACAAGTACCCCTCACTTCTCACAGGCAGCAAGATACCTTGTCTACCTATCCGTACCTCACTCCTCCTCACACTCACACACTGGAGCCCACTCCTCCTCACCTTCCAACCAACACCTCCGTCATCCAACCCAGCCCACTGCCAACCAACAGCTGCCCACTCAGCACACAAAGCACACACAGTACTAAGTAGCAGGTGCATCTCGCATTCAGGCACTGACTGGCAGAGAGAAAGAGGTTGTGGTGCATTGCAGTACTGTAGGTACATTGAACAGACTGAGAAACTCAGACAGGGCACTGGGCCTAACACCTCCGTCCCGACTCCCTCCCGCCCTTCATCCACCCATCCGCCCACCGCACCGCACTGCACTTGCACTGCACCTTACCTCACCCAACCCAACCCAACCCGCGGCCCATCCCACCTCACTCACGCCTTACTTCTTTCTCTCTCTACCTGCCGCCATCTTCCTGCCTACATCCCGACCATCTACTCCGACGATCTATTGCCGCCATCTACGTCCAGCGTGCCTGACCACTTCTTTGGCCTTTTGCACCCGTCTCCGAACGCGCAGGCACCCGTCGAGTCGCTCTTCCTCTTACTAATCCCCCAGTGACTCCTTTGGCCCCCTCTCTAGGCCCTCCTCCTGGTCTCTGTCGTCGGTTTCTACCTTGGCCGTGGTATCGCCTTTGGCCTTATTGTCCGTCGACGTCTGCCCACCACCCACGATTAGGTTACTCGAACCCTCGACCGCTCGACGCCGCCTTCGCCTCAGATTTTACTTAAAATCGAACCCTCTCGCCGTTTCCACCTGCGGAAACCCTCCCCTCGCAAACATCCCTCGTCGGCACCATTCCTCCCACCACGCGGAAGCGAAAGGCCGCTGAGGCGACGATATCCTCCGAGTCCCCAGACGCCCTGCCCAACAAGAGGATAGCCTCAGCTGCCAGCCAGACCCAGCACGCTCCCCCGACCCCGGTTACCACAGCAAGCAACGGCATGGATTCCGAGGAGGACTTCATGTCCGCTCTTTCGAGCGAGGACGAGATGATGCAAGACGACAGCGGCGAGGACATGTCGGGCGCCGACGGTGCGTCCTCATTTTTCTTTATCCCCGATGCTAACTCGCAACATTCTGACGCTCCTTCTCCCACAGACTTCGACGAGGACGACTTCGATGACGAGCCCGACGCCGACCTCGGCATTATCAAGGATTCCGACAGCAAGAAGAAGGTCGCCTACGACATTTCCTTCAAGGTCTACAAGCCCGAGGACATCCAGAGCCAACAGGATGACATGATCGACGAGGTCAACATGATTCTCAATATTCGCAAGGAGGACGTCGCCATCCTGCTGCGCCACTTCCGCTGGAACAAGGAACGCTTGATCGAGGACTACATGGACACTCCGAATAAGGTACTGGAGGCTGCAGGCCTGGGATCGAACGTCACCGGCCCACCCAAGCTGGAGGCCATCCCCGGCTTTATGTGCGACATTTGCTGCGAGGACGAGGAGGGTCTCCAGACCTTTTCTCTCAAGTGCGGCCACCGATACTGTGTCGACTGCTACCGTCACTACCTTAACCAGAAGATCCGCGAAGAGGGCGAGGCTGCCCGCATCCAGTGCCCCGCCGAGGGCTGCGGCCGCATCATCGACTCCAAGTCGCTCGATCTCCTCGTCACCCACGAACTTGGTTCACGATACCACGAGCTGCTCAACCGCACCTATGTCGAGGACAAGGACTCGCTCAAGTGGTGTCCCGCGCCCGACTGCCCGAATGCTGTTGAGTGCGCCATCAAAAAGAAGGACCTGGACAGAATCGTCCCCACGGTCGCCTGCGCATGTGGTCATCGCTTCTGCTTCGGTTGCATCCTCAACGACCATCAGCCGGCCCCCTGCGAGCTCGTCAAGAGGTGGCTCAAGAAGTGCGCCGACGACTCCGAGACAGCCAACTGGATATCAGCCAACACGAAAGAGTGTCCCAAGTGTAACTCCACTATCGAGAAGAACGGTGGCTGCAACCACATGACCTGTCGCAAGTGCAAGCACGAGTTCTGTTGGATGTGCATGGGCCTGTGGTCGGAGCATGGCACCAGCTGGTACAACTGCAATCGCTTCGAGGAGAAGAGCGGCACCGAAGCCCGCGATGCGCAAGCCAAGTCCCGCATATCGCTAGAGAGATACCTGCACTACTACAACCGCTACGCCAACCACGAACAGTCTGCCAAGCTCGACAAGGACATTTACCACAAGACGGAGAAGAAGATGGTGCAGCTCCAGACCGCGTCAGGCATGTCGTGGATCGAGGTTCAATACCTTAACCAGGCCTCGCAGACACTGCAAACCTGTCGACAGACCCTTAAGTGGACGTACGCCTTTGCCTTCTATCTTGCCCGCAACAATCTGACGTCCATCTTCGAGGACAATCAGAAGGATTTGGAGATGGCGGTTGAGGCACTGTCAGAAATGTTCGAGAAGCCCGTCACGGAGCTGTGTGACAAGAAGCTGAAGGTCGACATCATGGATAAGACGTCGTACTGCAAGAAGCGACGCATCATTCTTCTGGAGGATACTGCCGATAATTTGGCCAACGGTAAGATGAGCATAAACGAACATCTTTATCATTTCTAACCCTCCCTTAGGTCGCTGGACTTTCAACGTTGATCTTACCGGTCCTATGCCATCCGCTGCGACGGGCAGCCGCCGTTGAATCACGCGGTGACTCACACGAATACATGAGAAACGGCTTGAGTGTGTAGAAAGAACGCTTAGCGCTTTATTATTGGTGGAAGGCTCATCAATCTTCTCGGTAACGGCATTGGAGGCTACAAGATCATGACAGGGTTTTTTTCTTTCTTTCTCAAGGGACGGATAACTCGGCGTGAGGAGAAGCGCATCACGGGCATTGTATGGAATGGAATTTTGGTAGCAATCCGCGTGTCCCAGGCACAGCGGCAATCATTACGCAGCGCATCACTGTCATCGTCGTCTCTGCTGCTGCCGTCCTCTCCCTCGTTCTTGACTCTCTGAACTTACGAGAAGCCAGGCGATGGGTGTCATTCAAACCCTCCCGTTTTCGGCCAAGTCACGGCTTGGGTTTGCGTGTCCACCGTGCCGTCTGTCCCACTCGTGACGCTCCTTCCTGTTACTGCTTCGGATCATTGCCACGCAAATCTCTGGATTACAAAGTTTTCGCCTTCTCGTCGGTCTACTCGTCGTCCATGACCATCATGACTCGCGGTGTGTGTGTGTGTGTGTGGTCTACATGGCGGCACCAGTGAACGCTGCAACTACGACAGTGGTCCGAGGTCGCAGACAGGCTTTGCCTGTTCCGTACGGTGTGCCCAAGTGGCCGGGCCTCCCTCCTGACGCAGCGTCACGCAGGGGATGGAGCAATCGAACTCAACGGAACCCCGTCCGGCGGGTTCCGTCCGGGCGTCAGCCTCACCAGTCTCGTCATTGTAACAGCAAACCACATTCACGTCACATCACGGATGCTCATTCCATCATCCACGGTCGCGAACGAGACTTTTCTTGACACCTTGCTAATGGGTTTCCGTCCATGATATATTTCTTACCCGTCATTAAAGACTCCCACTACGCCTCAAGAAATGCATACAAAAAAAGCCGATCTCCGTCCAGGCTCATAATCCTTCGCCACCAATGATAAACCTTTTCCAGGCGTGCGGGGGAGAAAATGCTGCTTCTCATTCCATACAGCGTTGAAAGTCCAAATGCTCTCTCCTTGATGCTTCCATTAACCTCTTAAAAATGCATCCCATCCTTGGGGGGATATCATAATGATTGTGCACTGATAGCACAGCCAGACCGGGCACTCGGGAAATGACCGGTCGCGCTCGCAGAAAACGAATAAAACAACGTCGCAATATGGGTATCGCGTCGACACATGACAAAAGACTCAGCCATACACGAACCGGGAGAGGTTCAAGCCTCTGGGCCGCTCTTCAACCTCGTCAGATCGGAAGACATCATCGTCGTTCTCACCGTCGCTATCATGGACGATTTGATCCTCACTCCCGCACGGCGCGTTGAGAGCCTCGACTTCTGCGAGGTCGACCTTGGGCAGCGGCACGAACGAGGGGTTAACAGGCATCGACTTCAGCAGCCGGCTCTTCCGGGGACTGCGCTTGGGGCTGCGCTGGATTGCACTCTTGGTGGGAGACAGGGCGCGGCGCGGCGGGGTGTTCTTTCGCTGGAGGGCCCGGGCGCCGATGCGTTGGAGCGGTGTGAGCATCGGGGTTGCCTTCGCCGCTGCGGTCGAGCCGGCGGAGAAGGTGACCGAGGAGGCTGCGGTGGACGGGGCGGCGGTGGATGGTGTGAAGATGGATGATTGTCTCGAAACAGCGGTGGCCGGGGTATCGGGCTGACTCGAAGCGGCAGGGCTCGGCTGAGAGAACGCAAACCTCTGCAAAGACGACCGTCTGGAGCTCGTCTCCGGTGCGGGCTTCTTTTCGGGCAGCTCCTCCACTTCGGACAGGTCACTGAGCGGGGTTGTCGCTATCTCTTCGTCCTTGCTGAACTGACTGTCCGCGCCGGTTGCCTCGGTTCCTTGACTCTCCTCTGCGCTCTGGCTCTCCTCAAAGACTGTGATTGACTTTGGTTTAGGGTTGTGCCACGTGTCAATGTCCGCGAGGTTCAGCAACGCCTCGTCGATGGAGTCGTCAGAGAACAAGAAGCCGTCTTTCTCGCTCTTCTTTGTCGTTTCGTTCTTCGGGAAGAACTTGCTCTTTTGGGATTCCTCAGATTTGGTTTCGGCCTCGTCTGCATCAGCGCAGAGGCGGACCTTCTTGGGCGGGCGTTGAGAGCTGCTCTTCATCAATGCATCAATTTCGTCCATGGTGTTCGTCGAGTCGCTGAGCGTGATGCGACGAGAATCAGAACTGGATGGGGCGTACTGCTCCAGCATGTTCTTGATGGGTTCTGTCCGCCGTCGAAGTAGACGTGGAGAGGTTGTTGAACGGGCGGTTCGTGTAGGGCGAGATTCGGTTGGTTGTGAGGATGAGCCTTCGATATATGGTCTGGGCAGCGGAAAGACGCGGGGTACTAGGCCGTTATGGGTGAGGGCGGCAACGCGCTCTGGGTCGACTGAGAAACAGTTGCTATCCATTTCGCCCATGGGAATACGCTGATGGCCCTTGAAGTAGGAATCGATAGGCTTGGCGGCTTGTCGTGTGCGGCTCGAAGAGGCTGCGAGAGCCTCGGCGGACTGAGAGTGTCTCCTCTTAGAGTCGGATTTGGGCGACTTGCCTCCAGGCATGGGAGCAGGGATAATGGTCTCCTTGGTCATTGGGTTGACATCTCCAACAGCGACAGCCGTGGCCATCTCAGGTTCGACATAAGCGCCGATGAACGGCATATCCTCAACACCCTTGCCCGCTTCGGGCTCGGTGAGGAACACCATCTCCTTCTTTGTTGGACAGTAGACCCTCTGGTGCAGGAAGGTCAACTCGGCCTGGAAGAACCGCGGCAGGTAGTTCTCCGAGATGCGGTGCTTTCCTTCAAACTGACACATGCGGACCAATCGTTCTGGTGTCTTGTACTTGCGCAACATCCGGTAAGCCGTCTTTAGTCCCATGTTGTTGATCCCCTCGAGGTAATCACAGCCGCTCAGAATGGCCATGCGCCGAAAGTCGGTATCCGACCAGCCCGTCAGCGACACCTCCCGACATGCGCAAAAGTCCCTGCGGTTGATTTCGATACAGTTGCCGTACTGGTCAAGCTTCGTCAAGAGCCGCTTGCAACCGAAGACCAACAGATCCGAGTCTTCGGATAGAATGCCGTCGATCAGGCCTTGGCGTTCGAGGTAGACGAGCTGAGCATCTGCTTCGTACGGTGCAACGACGTACGAGACATCCAGCTTCTTCAATTCGTCGATGAGATTGCGGGCCATTTCCGGTGTCACGTCGATGGCCTTCTGAAACTCGAGGTGCGCTTGAGAGGGCTTTCCGGCCTTGAGCAGCTCCATTGCCGTCTTCTTGCTCTCATCGCGGCGTTTAGCTCTGGATCCTTCGGTGGCTGCCTTGCTGGGCAGGAAGTCGCCATCAAAGACAAGGTAGGGCTTGACACCAAAGTGCAGAAGCATCCTTACCCTGTGCATGGCGAAGTCGACATATCTGAGGCAGGGTTAGGTCACATCCGATGGCAACCTGGACTGGACGTTTGGACTCACTTGCGTGTGGGGGTGCCTTGGGCCAGGTCCACGGCGCAGGCAATGGCTCCGCGGTGAAGCCATCCATAGGCGTCGACACCGAGCGTTTCGCCCTTGAATTTCTTGAGCTCGACGGGCCTGTGGATGGACTTGAGCAGCGGGAGAAGGCCTAGCAGATGTGAGTAACGCAATGCACGAGGTCCCGAGGCAAGGGAGGCAAGTACCTGAGACGCCCATTGTTGATCCAAGGGAACGGCTCGCAGGCCCTCAAAGTGCAGAGCTGAAGTTCCGAGGGCTGTAGGTCGCTCTCGATCCGGTTTTCAGGCCAACAGCCGGACTGACAAAGGTAAAAACAATGCTTTAGGCCATCCGTCGAGAGGCAAAGACGCGTAAAGAGGGTGGATTCGCGGAGTTGTGAGGGTCGATACGCCAAGTCAGGTGATCCGGGGGCAAATGTAAACAAAGACACTCGACGCTATGTTTGCGGATTAGTTGCGGGCGGGAGTTGGAGTCGACTATCTACTGCGGGCGACAGTCGGGAGAGAGCTGGGAAGTTTAGTCGGAGCTGGAGGACTAGAATTCACCGACGAAGGTGAGATCAGAGGAGAGAAGGTGTGCAGGTGGAGTGAATCGCGGGCATCCTGCACGGGAAAGGGACGTCCGGGGGGACCTGGTCCTGCTATATTGGAACGCGGTGTGTCCACCCGCGTCAAGTCATATCGCGACTCTTTTTTTGCTGTGGCCTGGGCACAGAGGGGGGACCCAAAATGGCCTAGCGCCAGAAGCTCGGGATTTCCAGAGCAACGTCACTGGTTCCTGATCCGGCTGAAGATTATTGGACCCTTCCCGAATTTAGTGGGGCGACGGCTTTTTTCACAGAGTGCTTGCAGCTCAGAGGATGGGATTTTTCGCCGTGGGGCACAGATAGCAGACCGACACCCAAAGCAGTGCGCAGTCGAGAGAGACATCTCAATCATTTCGTTCTCAATCTTTCTGTGTCTCACTGTCGAATTTTCTTTAACTCTCTTGACGCGTCATTTGACCCTAGCCATATCACCGTCAGAATGCCTACCACGTTGTCAAAGACCCGCAAGCAGATTGCCAAGAAGCGCAACGGACATGTCGATGCACTGCATGAGTTTTCCAGAGACTCCAAGCGTCTTCACAAGGCGTCGGTGAGAGACGACAAGCTGCAGAAGCTTGCGGCCACCAGAGGAAAGAAGGAACAGCCCATGCGTAAGACAGCTCATTTCGCAGCAGACAACAAGCTGAAAGCTGACCTGCCACAGTCACCCGTGCTTCTTACTTCCAAAAGGCTATTCAGGAGAAGGGCTCGAAGCCGCTCGACCTCGCCAGTATCCAGGAGCTCATTCACGAGTGCGTCCAAATTGCCAATCCCAACGTCCCCAGGTCTGACTTTTTCCAGTTTTGTGCATCAGTATGATGAAGAGTACGCCGAGGTCAAGAAGACCCGTCGTCCAGGCCGCCCCGCGAGCGCCAAGGAGGACTTGCTCAAGCTGAAGATCTCCACCCTTGAAGACGAATACAAGGGCAATGGCTTCTGTGAGTTCTACTTTGACTGCATGGGCGATGTCGAGACTAACAAGTCCCAGACCTTCCTGACCTCATGAATGACTCCAACATCCTGATGCTCGATCGCTGGGAGGGCTCCTGGGCCTACCTCGCTTCCGTTGCGTGGGTGAGGATAAATGCCGACGGCAACATCAAGAAGTCCAGCTTCCCGCCCAAGGGCAGCTCCTAGATCATGACAGCATCACAGCGGCGTTTCTGGCGTTTGGAATCGGGAAAAGGCAGTTTAGGGGAGCAAACAGCGCATCATTCGGGAAAAGGGCACAGCCTTTCGGCTGCAGTTTCTGAGTACGGCTCTACGGTGTATTTGCGGGGGTTCTTTCGCGGGCCAGCTGTCTGAGACAAACATGCGCCGTGACAGGAGTCTCGTTTGGTCAACAGACAATTTCTCCGGTTACATACAGTAATGCCGTATGTGAACACGGAGGCGAAAGCTCGGATCACAGCAGGCCATGCGCGGCCAAACCACTGGATCGCCGACCTTCGCATGCATGTTCTCTCCGCGCCCGTTACACAGGGCATCGGCGGGCGGCCCGGCGGCAAACGTGGGTGGCATGTGGTGTTCTGGGGATAGTACCGGCTCGACCGCATCCTCTGGGACTGTTGTATCCATTTGGCAAGCATTTAGACGGTATCATGTAGAGAGCAAACGTGGTGATCTCGTTTGAAACACACTCGGTAGATGCCACAGGCAAGGCTGGAACACGATCCATCGATCTCCCGGCCCAATATCAACCCACACCTGGCTTCCGTCGAACAATCATTGGGCTGCCATGTCGCACATCAAGTGACGATTATGTTGCCGTCCGCGGTCCCTGTAGATTGTCTGATGACTGACGTCTATTTCTCCTTGTTCCAAAGGTGGCTACCCGGTCCAGAGCGCGGCTGCGATCTGCCCCGAGCCTCCTGGACCAGACTACTGGAACCACGTTGTTCGCCAAACAGGCCTGTCCCAAGTGGTGCCTGTCGTCTCATAACTCAACCCAGATCTCTCATTCTGTCCCAGGTGCTACATTGCACAGGCGACCTCGCCATCCTCTTGAAGACGGCTAGACGCTTCCAGCTCGCTGACCGCGGTGAGCACTGCCCCTGGAAGCATCTCCACTTGACTCACCCCCGATCCCTCCGTGGCAAGACTTTGGGGAGGACGCCGTAGCAGACCGCAAGATGTCGAAGGATCTGGATGCCGGTGCTTGCTGCCTGTGATCGTTCGAGTCCCCGTACCACGAGGTCGGGCTGACTTGTTTGGGCTTCCCAAGAGCGTGGCTACAACAGTGCTCAAGTGTAGATATATCTCGGATGATCTTCACTGTCATCCGGCTGTCATCTACCCCTCGCCACTCTCAGCAACCCCTCCGTCGATCTTCCTGATCTGTTCTGCCTACACCCGCAACTATCCGATTGAACCTCTTGCTCCTGCAAGTGAGTCCTGATAAGCACCGACGGTTGAATTTCACTGACAGTCGTTGTAGCAACATGTGCAAATACGTCACTCATCTGCGCGTCTGCAACGTCTGCAGCCATGAAGATACTGTCCTCATCTCAGAAAGGTTATGCATGCTTGCCAAGAGGAACGGGGTATTTGGCAGTTGTGATTCAGGGATCGGCAGTGACAGCAACAGCACCAGACACCACTGTTGGAAGTGCAAGGAGAGGATCCGCCGGGTCCCACGGGCTTCATCGGCATTGCATCGTGTCAGTCTACATTGATGAGAGACTCTATGGGAAGGCAAACAAAACTTGAGCTACAAGGCGTTCAAAAAGATAGACGGACTAGACACCAACAACTCTTCCCAGTGATGCTGGCATCGCCATTGGGTTTGAGCGGGAGGAGACAAACAGGCAGATTGGGATCTGGAGATCTCAGAAATTAGTGAGGCCCCTGTCATTACCAGTTTAAGCTTAGGCGAGAGCATTGATGATTTTTTGTACATGATTCTTCGGTGGAGTCCTTCGAGAAAGAGTGGAGGTTGATGTGGTTCAGCTGCAGTGTGTTGTCGTGCTGCAAGCATCGGAACAATATTTCGCCGGTAGACTCAGCGTCTGGTCTGATCTCAAAATTTTTGGGAAGCTTCCAAAGCTTCTGCAGAGATTGATTTACCCACCCCACCACAGAGTCTTTTTTCCCATTGTCAAACAACACCTCGTTCGACAAGTAGACACAACTCCAGCCAAAATGCTTTCCATCAGATCCATCGCGCGCTCTGCGCCGAGAACCCTTACTCGCCTCTCGGCCACCACTCTCAGACAGAGCGCCCGCCCCAGCGCATTCGTCAAGGCCTCATCATTTGGCGCCGTCCAGCGCGCTTCTGCCTTTTCCAGCTCCGCCTTCAGGAAAGCCCCTGCCGGCGAGACCGACGCTGAGCTTCTCGCCAAGCTCGAGAGCGAGCTCTCCTTCGAGGATGAGGTCAAGCAGAACGAGCAGCTGCCCGCCAGCGTCAAGGACTTCCTCGACAACAGCCCGTTTGAGCTCCACGACACCCCCGGCAAGGAGGAGGTCAAGCTTACCCGCAAGTTTGGCGAGGAGAAGTGAGTTTTTCCAGCGCGTGGCTATCTATGCGCCTCGACATACTGACAAGATCCAGGATCACTGTCACCTTCTCCATCGCCGATCTCGCCAACTACGACCCCGAGATGTACGAGCAGGACCGCGCCCTGGACGACGAGTACGACCCCTCCGAGCCCCAGACCAAGCAGAACGGTGCCCGCTCCGCCAACCCCGAGGAGGACATCGAGGACGAGGAGGGCGAGCTGGACGAGGCCGCTCCGCCCTGCCGCCTGAGCATCGTCGTCGAGAAGCCTGGCAAGGCCGACGGCGCCCTTAACATCGACGCCACCGCCCAGGACGGCGCCATCACCGTCGAGAACATGTACTACTACGAGGACGGCAAGCTGGCGCACGGCTCCTCCGCCGACATCGCCCACGCCCGCGCCGACGTCTACCCCGGACCCCCCTTCGGCAGCCTCGACGAGGACCTGCAAATCCTGATGGAGCGCTACCTCGAGGAGCGCGGCATCACTCAGGCCCTGGCCATTTTTGCACCCGACTACATTGACGTCAAGGAGCAGAAGGAGTACGTCCGCTGGTTGAAGAACGTCAAGGGCTTCGTCAACGCCTAAACAGGACTTGACTGTCCTGCGGGGAATCGAAAAAAAAAAGTGAAGAGAAAATGAAATGCAGAGAGATATCTTGACGACGCATGACGGCGGGGGATTGTAAGATGAAACGAAACTTACCTAAAAAGGCTTTTCTTGGCTTGTCTTATAGCTGTTCCACTCACGATGTACCATACCACGGCCTGGCTGGCACGCCAGATGCCTAACATAAGAAACTGTAATACAAACAAAACAAAAATTCTCCTTTACTTTACACTGGGATCTGATCCACCGTTATTACAGTATGTGACTCGCACCGGTCTGAAAAGACAACCTTGTGAGTTGCCTCCCGGCCCCGCTCAGATGTCCTGCCGACTCGAGCCTACCCCTCGTAGTGCCTGATCAATCCCCACAACGCATACACATGGAAGCGTTGCGAAGTGCTTGTTGCCTCAGAGGTGGGCGATGAGAGCTTTCACTCATGTGAGTTTCCGCTTGTTTCTTCCTGCAAAAGGAACTCGATGAAAGACTATCATGGCATCGGCTGTGGAGGTCAAAAATGAACTGATCGCGACCAAAAACATACAACACCGGGCATTCGCCGGTCGTCACCGACCCGACTACTACTCCAGCCCTCATTGGCTTATCTATGGGAGAGCGGACGGGATCCCGAGTTTTCCAATGGGTATGGTCGTATGTGCTCGGTTTGGGAATGAGGCTATCCATAAACGCTCGCCGGTGTGACCTCGACGAACTTCAGACGAGAAGAAAGCATGTTCATCAACAGGAAGGATTCGATGGAGACTGTCGACGTATTACATACATGTTCAATTGTAAAACATTGGGCCTGCATATCTTCGTTGGCAACGTCAGTACTCTTTTGCCAAATGCCTAGACCCGAGAAGACGGTAGATGCTGCCATGGAAGGCTGATGTACTTCGTGCACGACAATAATTCGAAAACAACATGATAAACGATGCATCTTATGACTGAGCTTTTTTCTTGGCTCAGCGTGTAGCATGTCCATAATCTTCAAGTGTATCCAATCTGGACTGCCTGGTCTATATCACAACAGACTTTGACGAGGAGACACAACTACTACCCTTGTCCGCGCTGCCTCACTTCTAACTCGAAAGACACAACTAAATAATGTCGTTCTCCATCGAAAGATCGTTAAGAATGTCGAACAAGCTCTTCATTATTTAAGGAAGTATCGGACCAGAAATCCTCTGGCTGTTATACTCAATCCGCAGCATCCAATCTCCCTCCGAGCATTCCGTCCATTCAAACATCAGGAGGAACTTGGAACCGGAAGCATACACCGGAAGGGCTGATACGCTGCAATTGGGGATGTCCAAATGCTCTTGAGGGCCCTTGTCCAAGTGGAAGGTGACCATGACCTCGAAGAGGGGATGACGCTCGAAGTCTTGGTTGATGCCCAGTATGCGAAGCATCTCCGGGAACGGGACTACTCGAGCGAGGGCAGCTTGACTTGCCTCGCGCACCTGGCTGAGGAACGCAGCGCAGGAAGTTCCCTCGCGGATCTTCCCGATCCGAATCGGCAGACCGTCCACCAGAAGGCCCATGGCCCGCTGCTCCGAGGCCGAGAAACGGCACGAGCAGGGACTCTCAACCACCAAGTCGTCTTCAAGCGTAACGCGCCGGAGGGTCAGAGCAACGGCGGCGAGAGCAAGCTGGTGGCGAGTGATGGATTGGCTGCGTATCATGCGCACGAGGCTTTTGACGAGGGTTGAATACGTCGGACCGTCCGTCATAGCGAGACGTCGCTGAGGGCCTGCCCAAGGGAACGGCGCAACCAGGTCTATCTTTTTGTTTGGAGTCAAGGGAGCTCGTCCGTTGCCACGAACCTCTGGAGAACCCAAGATGGTGGCAACCTTGCCAAGAGATCTTGCTTGATCTTCTACGTGTTGACGCACGCAAGGTTTATGACTGACATGATAAGGCCGAAGCACTCTCTTATCAATCACAGGTGGACGATATTTTGATCATCTTAAGCCCCAGTTAAAGTAGTTCATTAAACTCAATAATGATATCGTAACACTCGATTCGCATGCCATCTAAGGGCCTTTTGGTAAGAAGGGTGTTCTGTTAGATGGATCCTTGATCTTTTTGTGATCGGGGTATTTATCCATCATCATCCTAAACAACTTCAAGTCGTTTAGAGCGTCCTTGGCGGAAGTCTTGACTTCTTTGCCAAAAACCACAGTCTCGTACCACTCTTTCAATTCAGCGGTGTATGCATCCTCGTAAGAGGTTTGAAGAGATCTGTGGGACTTTTCCCCGTGTTCGTTCAGCTCGTCAATCTCCACCGTGATTCCAAGACCCTTCACGAATGGTGTATCGTAACATATCGTGACTGATTTGTTCTCCCCGTAGACAGCGACTTGAGAGTCAAATCTTGGTACAGAGTCGATACCCATCTCGTAGACACACGTGAAACGGTCGTCAGGGGCGGTGCCATTCCGGTATTCGAACATTGTCGTGTACCAGCGTGCGTTGTCCGTCAAGGCAAGCACTGATTCTGGGAGACCACCTAGTACGTCCCTCATCAGGCTAATACCATGGCTTCCGAGACTGCCCAGGAGACAGCAGTAGTCCATCTGCGCGGCGGTAAGCGAATCTGGCTCTTGTCCCCATGCCTGACCTAGCAGGACTGCAAGTCGCGTCTTTCTGTCCTCTGATGCCTCCATTGATATGTCATCGTAGTACTTCTGTGGATATGCCCCCGACTGCCCGATGAAATAAGCATTGGGGCCAATGATGTCCCTGACACGAGCGTACTTGATCTTGCCAATGGTTGCAATCTCGCGTTTGAAGGCTTGTAGACTTGGAGCGTAACGTCGCATGTAGCCCACGAAGACGCGGGTATTGTTGGGGGCCTTCGTCTCAGCATCGATAATCTCCTCGCCAGCTTGTAGGCTAAGCGTCATGGGCTTCTCGAGCAAGACGTTTTTCCCGACCTTCAACGCAGCAATGGTGTACGGGGCGTGATACTCGTCAGATGTCAGGATGACGACAACATCAATGGCTGGATCATTGAAGATGTCATCCGGATTTGTGGTCGCGTGAGGAATCTTGAATTTGTCACGACAATGATTAGCCGTCTTTTGTGAAATGTCGCAAATGGTGACGACCTTGAAGAGGCTGGATAAAAACATGAACGTTGGAAGGTGTACGATTTGGGCAACGTCGCCACCGCCAATGACCCCGACCTGTAGGATCTTGGAAGACATATTGAAGCGAGTTCTGATAGTCGTAGCGATAATGTAGCGACTGGTTTATACGTGAAGCTAGAGGATACAGGTGTTTAGGGCCTCGAAGGCAATTTGCAGCATCATGTTACATATTAACCTTTATAAGGCGCTGTGTGAGCTCTGGGCACTTTTCATTCCCTAACCCAAACCGGTGCGACATTCACATTCCGTCTCTGATGATGCTGACGGACCCAACCGACTCTCCCATCTCCGCTTCTTTGCGCTCATGCTAGGCATTCCCCCTCTTGCATTCTCCCCGCATCGGGCTAGTTGTATCGGGCATGTTTCCGACCAGTGCCCACGCGGACTGCTCTTTTTGGCAAAGACCGATCGGCTGTTGGTGTAAGTCAAGTCCACAACATGGACTATTACATGCTGCAGAGAAGCTGCCCTCAGAACTTTCAGCTATTGGTCTACCTTCATTGACTTCGGTCTAATTACGTGCTCAACTAGAAAACCAAACGTAACTTTTACTTTTATCAATACGATCCAAACCCCCGTCGCGCTCACTGGGGCGGGTAGGCAAAGCCACACTCTTGCTATTTCCAAGTATTAACACCCCCTTCGTAGGGATCTGAGCTAGAGAGGAGCACGCTGTAGGTCGCTACACTGCCATCTTGTACAGGCCCCTTTAATAACGATGTTGGTTGGTAGCCTGCTATCGAGACTGCCAATGAGCTTCTGTTGAAGGCTATGTACTCTCGGTCGATCACCTCCGCGAGATCCATTTCCGAAGCCGTCCCCCATATGGTCGATTTCTACTTGGAATATAATGAAAACGAATATGATGATATTCCCAGCCGTTCAAACACCGCGGCCGTCGTATTTCGTCCTTAGAAAATTTTGCGATTCCCAGGGATGTCACTAACCGGGACTAGGCTTCCCATAGCAAACCAGATTCCAGTTATCAAGGCTGCATTGACAGCCGGAAAGCATGTTCTCTCGGAGAAGCCTGTTGCTGAGAACATCAAGGATGCTGAGGATCTCATCCGATGGTACCGTACTGACTTCAAGGGGCCCACTTGGGCTATTGCTGAAAACTGGCGATTTCTGAATAGCTGCCAATTTGGAGCGGATCAGATCAAGGGTCTTGGCACAATCACGGGCTTCTAGGGACGCCGACATGGTACGGTTTCACAGGATTGGAGACCCAGTCGTAAGACATCACGATGTTGCATGTATATCAGCATATCTCACAAGTGGCCACAGTCGCAGGATGGCGAGAAAGTCCCACTCACCAAGGCGGAAACCTTCTCGACGGAGGGGTTCATTACATGGCCGGAGTGCGGCTTTTTCTGAGCTCGCATCCTGACCACGAAAATCCACATACTATCTGCTTTTAGATTGAGAATGAGAATGTTACCCTTTCTCGTGATGGAAAAGTCGAGGAAATCATAGTTCCCTACGACCGAACTGGAGTGCCGCTTGAAATACGTGCTTAGGCAGATAGCCTCGCTACCGGAAAGTCGCGACCAGAACAAGGGCCGGAAGCTGCCTTAGCTGATCGGAACTGGAGAACCAAGATTCCACTCAAGAACGGTGAGCTACTTGACTAACAATTGGCACAGATTGAGCCCATGTTGAAGAGCGGCCAGCAGGGATGAGTACCTGTGGTATGCAAACATCAAAGGGCGTCACTTGAATGTTTAGATCTTAGATACCAAAACACTTGAATCTTTGGAAATCTCATTATCAGCGCCAACGACAACTACTCAAGTGACCTCGTTAACTTGCCACAACAACCTTTAGATCGTAGGTGAGAGACAGCCCAGTAACCAGGATATTGAATGCCCCCTCACTTCATTAACCCCGTCTTCCATCACATATGGGTCACGTACCTCATCAAAAAAGCAAGCATTGCTGCATGCAATCTCGATCTGTGGTTGGGACGTCGGACTTTATCATTTAGGAAATCTCAGTTGGCGGGGTCCAAGCCAGCTTCCCCGGATCGTGTAAGTTTCCCCAGACTTACACCCCCACAACAACCCCAGGCGCCCCAAGAGGAGTTTCCGATAACTTGAGACTACAGCCCACTCCTGATTGTATAACCTCGTTTTTCGATAACCGATGTTTCATCTCTTCCTCTTTTGATCTAAGTTAGGGTTTCTGCTTGTGCTCCTGCCCTCCAACACAACATTCGAAACACCTGTGCTCTCAGACGTAAGTCTAGACTGTATTCTCACCGAGCCTTGTATAATCTCAACATGTCACCACAAAATATCTGGGCTCATTACAAATGGGCAATCTTCTTTTGCGCCGTGTCAGCCATTGGGGCTCTTTGCTATGGCTATGACAATACCTATTACAACAGAGTATTAGCTATGCAGGAGTTCAAGAATGACTACGGAAACATTCGTAATACCGACGGCAAGCTTGCCCTATCTTCGTCCTTTCAGTCTGTCACAGCCTCCGGTATTTACATTGGCGACTTGCTAGGCGCAATCCTTGCCGCTCCACTGAATGATCGCTACGGGAGGAAGTCCACATTCTGGCTGGCTTCATTCTGCATATTTATTGGCGGCATTTGTCAAGTCGCAGACATTCTCAGCTTAGAAGGTCTTCTTGTGGTCGTACGTATCCTTATCGGCCTTGGAGTAGGCCAGTTTACCGTCACTTCGTTGTTGTATATTGGCGAAGTTGCACCCCCCTCAATTCGTGGACCAGCGCTCATGTGCTTCCAGTTTCTCCAATCCTGGTCTGAACTATGCGCGTCTGCGATCAACCAGGGCACCCAAAATATCAAAAGCTCTCTCGGATACCGCATTCCCATGGGAGGCCTCGTCGTACTTCCCCTGATAATGGCCGCCCTTCTTCCGTTCATCCCAGAGAGCCCGCTGAGGTACGTGCTCAAAGGTCGACGTACAGAGGCCGAGCAAAGTTTCCACAAAATCAACCAAAGCAAGCCCAACTACGACCCATTAGAGGACCTGGCCACTGCTGAGAATGCGAAGAGCATCGAAGAGCAGCATGCTGAGTTCTCTTCATGGGGGTCTCTGATAACGGACCCCATCGAAAGACGCAAGCTGACATACTCCGCTGGAGCTATGTTCAGCCAACAAATCTGCGGCATTCTGTTCTTCTACGTTTACGGCGTTGTCTTCGCTCAGGCTATTGGATTAGGCAACCTTTTTCTCGTTCAACTTATCACCAACATAGTCCAAATATTTGCCGTGGGCGCCTCGATAATTACTGCCAACAGAGTGCGCCGCCGCATCAACCTCATGATCACCAACTTCATGATGTTGGTGGCTTTCATCACTATCGGTGACGTCTCGGTAAAACCACTGACACCTTCGACGCAATACGTTATTGTAGTGTTTTCCTTCGTTGTCATGGTTGGCTTCAACTTCGGTCTTGGCCCCCTTGCGTATACCGTCGCTCGAGAAATGGCAGTCGGTCCCAACCAGAACAAGATCATGTCTGCGAGTATCGTCATTTTCTACCTGATGACCTGGGTGGTCTCGTTCACCGCGCCTTATCTGTACTATGATGTCGGGCTAGGTCCAATGGTGAGCTTCGTATACGCTGGTACGACGTGTCTCTCCATACTGTGGACATGGTTCTGTGTCGGCGAAACCGCTGGCAGATCAAGCTTGGATTTTTCAATGTTCTTCGCTGAGAAAATTCCTGTCAGGGCTTGGAGGAGATATGTGTTCTCGGACACTCAGTCCTTGAGAGAGATGAGCTTCGATGACAAAACCAAGGACGTGCGGAATACCCCAACAACGGTAGAGCACCAAGAGTTTTCTGTTTAAAATATTGTAGCAGTATATGTAGCAGAAACTTCGGAATCATCTGCGTACTTGCGCATTGAGATTGATGCCATAATGTCTGTTTACGAATCCGAGCTATGATCGGCGATGCCCTTTTCGTGCAGCTTAGGTCTATAAGAACACCCGACGTACGTAGGTCATGGACCAAACTAGCACCCGAATGTATCAACGTTGATTGACACACTCTCAGTATTTGACTGGCTGAGCTCTCTTTAACCGGCCCTCCCCTCTTCTTGTGGATGAACGGGAAAGGGCTGACGCGGCGCATTCCCCGCAAATTTTCGTTTCGCAGGAGATCGACACTCTCCATGGTTGTCTATTTCCGGGGATTCCAGACCTTCGGACATGCATGGTCTCGTGACGGGCTTCCTCTGTAGGGAAGCCCGTCTAACACCAGTTTGATCGAAGTGCCTGATGAGACCCGCCCGCCAGCCGCCTTCTACGTCCTGATGGTGCCCGAATGTCACGTTTGATCACCTGGAGACGTCGTCAGGCTGTGACTTGTAAGTAACAAGAGGTATTGCAAGACTTGGGGGATTTCCCATTCTGCCCCAACTTCGGGATTTGTAGGTAGCCAAGTCAATGCGATACTTTGCGCATTGGGAGGAGCTTAAAGGATGTGTGACTTTTAGATTTAAGATTTAAGGGGTGATTGATGGCACACCGACATTGCTTCATGCTGTCCTGCACTTGTAATCAAACTTCAAAATATTGACGTAGTCTTCTTAACGATTATAATGTTGCTGCTGCTACTCGGTGAGAAACAATTTTGATCTCTTGAATCGAGATAACGTGTTTCTAACGTTCTAAGCAGTGTTCCCCGCTCTTGTCCTCTGGTTTGCGGTCGGCGCACCGATAACAAGCTACCTCGCCGACAGGAAGGGTCTCAGAAAGTTCCCTAGCCCCGGATTTGCCGGCATCTCATCCTTGTGGCGTATTTTCTACTGCTTCAGATACCAGCACTTCGCGGCAGTGCACGAAGCTCACAAGACACTGGGCACGCATGTCCGCATTGCTCCCAACTATGTCTCTATTTCAGACCCTCGCGCTGTCTATGACCTTTACGGCCACCAACTTTCTCAAAGACGCTTGGTACGATGGAGGGGCCGGAGCGTTCCCTCATATGGCCGACGAGAGAATCAAGACTGAGCATCAGAGAAAGCGGAAGTGACTTGCCCACGTCTTCGCGTAAAAGTCCTTGTCGGAACAAGAGCCTGTCATTGCTGAGACGATCCGCACATTAATGACACAACTCAGAATATTTGCATGCGGTGGGAGACCAGTCAACATGCGCCGATATTTCAACTACTTCACTATTGATGCTTTTTCAACGATGCTCTATGGTGAATCATTAAATTGCTTGAAGCGCGGTAGCGACCTGGTCAACGCTGAAACACCCGAGGGGGAGGTTTACCAAGCCCCCTTTATTCAGTCTTTGCTAGACGCCACTCATATCAACACAGTCCTTGGGATGGAAGCTGGTCTACTGCCCTTTTCCAAGAAACTCTTTTCCTGGCATCCGTACAAGAAGGCAGGCGTGGACTTCGATAACATTATCCGGCACTGCACCAAGGCGCGGTTCACATCCAAAGAGAATTAAGGGGATATCTTCCAAAAGCTGATGGTGAAGAACAACGGCGAACCGATCAACCTTCCCTTTGGCGAGCTTTTCGCCGAATGCTCTGTCATGATGAACGCTGGCACGGAGACAACCACGGCTTCTCTCACAAACTCCTTATCACAAACTCCTTATATCTCATATACACCCATTCTGATGTGCTCCAGCAGCTCCGGCAAGAACTGGATCCTGTCATTCCGAGGAATACCGTACCAGCATACGATTCCGTCGGACAGCTGCCGTTTCTGAGAGCCTGTGTTGAGGAATCTCTTCGCGTTCGACCTGCGAGTTCTATGGGTTTGCCTAGGGTTGTCCCGGAAGGCGGTCGGATGATCGCAGGGAAGTTTGTGACTGAGGGCGTCACTGTGTCAGTTCCGACCTACACCCTGTTGCGGGATGTTGAGACTTTCGAGGACGCCGAGACGTACCGACCTCAGCGCTGGATTGACGGCGACAAGAACAAAATGCTCAAGGTCCACTTACCATTCAGCATAGGACCTCAGGTATGTATTGGCAGAAATATTGCCTACTTTGAACAGCTAATGCTCATCTCAACCTTGGTGCGAAACTTTGATTTCGAGTTGGCATGGCCGGATCAAGAGGTCAGGACTCTGGAGCGGTTCAACTCCAACCCAGATGAACTCTTCTTTTGTTGTAGACTTCGCGATCTCTAGTGTAGCTAACAGATTGCCTCTCCTTTGATAATCCGCACTTGAGATTTCGCAAACCTATTTAACTACTTTACCTTATAGTCAGATACGTGTAGTACTGCCCTTCTATCGATACTCCACAGCCTAGTCAATTCTGGTTGAGAATGAAAGAACAAAAAAGGTTTCGAAGGCAAAAAAGAGCCGAGATGAGGTAGTGAACAACGAGCAGTAGAAAGACCCCTTGGGTTTCATAGCCGTGCGACAAGCGGCACTGAACGTCAGATGCCAGCAAACTTAAAGTCCTACAGCAAATAATCCTGGATAGATTGCCAAAAGAACTGGACTATCATACTGCGCTTTTTGAGTTCTTCTTTTGGTCCAGAACCCGAATATCGCGTGATCATTGAGAAGTTATGGCAGAGACATTAGGCTAGGAGCACCTTCGCAGAAACAACCTGCAGCCCCGATACTATGGCACCCGGCTTGTGATGGGAGCAGTCCTGAGACCACCAAGCCGAGATTCCTGTGGGCAGCGAAAGACAAGGAAGAACATCATCCATTCTTTTGGACTTGTCTATATTTCTCCCCAGCTTCGTTTGATCCAGCCGCATGCTGGAATCGCGATGATAGCATGACCTCATTTGTGCTACAGTTGGGCAGGTATTTACGCACTTGGGCAAACGAAAGTCAAGAGAATGGCATTCAAGGGCGTCTCAGCATCATAAATTACTGCATAAGGCTGTGGTTGCGTCGTATGTACATTCCCAACAAGGACCAATCGGCTTAATTTCCCATTTCAAACACCCACACTGACGACGACCCAGTGCTACACTCAAGACTGTATTGTCTCGGGAGAGCAGGCTGTGAGAACTCGCCAAGGCCGGAGTCTCATCGCATTTGATCCCACGAGTCTTCTCCTGGTGTACAAAATCATAAAGCATCCTCGCCATGTATGGATTAATATGAGTGCTCAATTACTGTTTGACTTGTCAGCGCCAAGCCGGCAACTCGTTCCTCGTACATTGTCAACGCGTATTTTCCAGCTTCTCACGAAACATGCACTCCTCGATCTTTTTTTATTCTATCACAAGACCCTACCCATTCCGATGGTTTACTCCAGTGGTAATAATTGGCGGGTTTATCCTCACGGTTATCTTCACCCTTCTGAATCTCAGCTCAAGCGTATACTATACAAAAGCTATCTACACAACATACCCCAATGCAACCATCGAGAAACTCAACGCGCGGTATGTCAGACAGCCTCGTATTAATGCATACTAACTATCTATGTAACAATGGATAGTTGTGCTGATGTTACGATACCGTGGGTAGGTGGTTTCGCAGAGCACCGTTCAATTGGCAAGGTGACGCGAAAGCTGAATGCCAACCTGCCTTGCTATCGGTCGGCAGCTCCATTTCCACAGCAAACCTCGGCTTCAGATATCAGATCACGGGCGTCAGGCCCGTGTCTGGCAACGACCATTCATCGTCTTCTCTGCCTGGTTCAATGCGATACATGAACTCCCTGCTGCAGGATTGCCAAGTGCAAGAAATTTTCATCTCCCTCAAGAAGGTTGACCCTTCTAAGCCGCCGTCTTCAACATGGAACTCTTGAGAAGATTCCAGTGTGACTTTGACGCTGTGGTGCATCGTAATGTCCGACGAGGGTGCCACGAATGTCACAATGAAAGCCTCTAATAGTAATGCCCAGAGAAACTTCAACTACGTTCTTGCGGATGACCCTAAAACGCATGCAAGCGTATGGTGGGGCACAAGATTACTGAATGCTTACTTGAATGGAGTGTTGACTATTGCCTCTCAAGCAAGATTACCAGATGACTCTGTAGCTGTGGCTCGCGGTGGCATGAGATATATGCCCAAACCTTCAAATCATGAGTGAGTAGCCATCTTCACCTTGTAACGTTTTGTAGGAAGCTATTAACAGAGATTAAGTATACGGTCCGATGGCTTCTTCTTTGCCAGATGGGTCTGGAATATGGAAGATGGCTTAAACAAAAACAATGATCGCCGCATATATGATCCAGGGTACAACATGAAGGTAGGCGCTCTTGTTTCAGCAGATATAACTATGTGAAGATGAAACTGAAGACCAACGTTTTCGCAGGACTCCTATTGGTCACCTGCCCTTACGGAGGGGCTTCACGTCGCCAAACTTCTACACTCATTGTTCGCACAAGATTTGGGCAGCTGCTCGTCCCCAAATTTGCTTCTTGACGAAGACAGCCTCAAATTCGCAATCCTCTCTCCAAACAATATGAACCGGAAACCTGGCGGTCTACTTAACAGTACTGGTCCCGACAGTCTAGACGGATTTTTCTTCAACCAAATCCCGACGCCCGGTCGTACACTCGGTGACCCTGGAGAGGGCTTGACGAGCCTCAAAAATAGTTTCGAAAAGTTCAAGCCGTTAATGGGTTCTCTTTCCTGCAAAGAGACCACTCTTGTTGCTGAATATCTCTGCTCAGTCCCCGAAAAGAAGAGCATTGGGGTCTTACTCTGCTCCTTAGTGCTGGCAAATCTTGTGTTCCTCCAAGCGGCTTGGAAGCTTCTTCAGTGGACGGCCGGAAGTTTGGTGACAAAAGGAGACTCCTCGGCAATGATCTGCGAAGGTTGCGTATATTTACGGTCGTTGGAGAATTTAGAACAAAAGGTGGGTGAAGACGCAGTGGATGATGAGACCGGCGAACTCGGGAACGGATGCAGAAGGTCAGCAGATGCCTAGAATCAAGACGTGGAAGAAGTGTGGTTTGCACTGGGAGCTTTACACTGGTTTACCTGCTTGTACTCAGAGTACATAACATACTCTTGATACTGAGAGAATGCAATACACTACTGACACGACTCGAGCTCGTGGTGTATTATCGACCCAGAGATGACATTTACCTCCCTTTCCGAGCCATAGGTGTAGTTGTTACACTTCTTTATTATTCTATTGAGAAGGATTAGAATTTTATACATAGACCAAGAATCTTTTAGTATGGCCAGTAATCGAGGAGAGAGGATTTGCAACACTGATGAGGCACTATGACGACCAGCACGCTAGTCAACCGTGATACCCAGCACGATTGCCAATGTGTCTTTCAGCTCCCGCGCCGCCCTATCCTCTTTTTCCTTCAAGTCCTCCTCGAAGCCACCACCATACCCAAAGTACTGCCTGACACTACTGAGGCAGAAAACCAAGTCCAACATGAATAGTGACCATCTAGACCGCACCGTCCTCCACATGGTTTCCTGACCGCTGGCCTCCACCGAGCGCATGGCCGCGACGCCAATGAGCTTGACACGATTGACCGGCGAGCCGAGGAAACGGTTGCTACCCTGCACCAGGCCGAGGTTGCGCTCTAAAAAGACCAGCTCTGGAGGCCACAGGCCGTCTGTTCCAAAGTAGCCGGCCGTTTCAGCAATTATGCGCTCGTCGCGCTCCTCCGGCGTCTCTTCACTTCGCGCCTTTTCGGGCTTCTTGGAGCTCATCGTGAACGCATCGGCCCATGGTTTCGGATCCTCCATGCCCCAGGCGTTGGACACTTTTCTCAAGGCCTCGGTGTCCTGCGTGAGGATGCCCTTCCAGAATTGGGCGTACTGCTGCCGCAGACTCTCGGAGAGGGTTACGTAGAGACCATGGTCGAGGAGAACGATCTCAGGTTTGCCTGATGGTAGACGTCGCACAAAGATGTTTCCCGGGTGCGGGTCACAGTGTACAAATCCGTAGCGAAACATTTGGGCCGAGAAGAGCTCAATGACTGTCTCCATGACGTCTCCTAGGTTGAGCCCCAGCCCGCGGCCCGACGGTGTACTTGCCATTGTGATGCCCTCCTTGTCCCGAAGCGTGAGACCGTCTATCCATTCAGTCGTCAAAACACGTCTTGAACTCAGATCGCTGTAGACTGTAGGGACATGAACACGGTCGCATAGTCGTGGGTCTTCTCGCACAAACTCGGCAAGACGCTCCGAGTTGGACCGTTCATGCTCGAAATCGGTCTCTTGCGTGACATGGTTCATGAGGAACCCCCCGAGTGATGCCATGGGGATCGCGGTTTCCTCTGCGGCGAATTCGATCAAGCGCTTGAGCGTCGATAAATCGGAGGACACCTGTGCACCGATCTGCCTCCGTTGGACCTTGATGGCAATCTCACGGCCATCCGACAGACGGGCATAGTGAACCTGGGCGATGGAAGCGGCCGCGCGAGGTTCGCGCTCGACGGCAGGGCCGAATAGCTGGCCAATGGTCTGTCCAAAGTCCTCCCAGATAACAGCCTCGACGTCGGACCATGGGGCGGGTGTGGCGTCGTCAAATAGTTCGGCAAGGCCCCGCTGGTAGCGCTCCGGCAAGACGCTGCCCTGTATGGCCATAGCCTGGCCGGCCTTGAGGTAGAGACCACCGTTACTCTTCAGCATGTCGCAGACGCGGCGGGCGTTACGTTCATGCAGAACATCGACGGGTACGCCAGCAATGTAGGGCTTGTTCCCCAGGTGCAGCTTGTAGTCGAGGCCGACGAGAGCCATGGTGCCGTAAGCTCTGACGCTGCGCATGCCCACGCTCCCCAGATAGAAGCGATCGGCGGCATATCCTGCCAGGCCAAGGCCTCCAAGGAGGTACAAGAGCTTCCGGAAGATGCGCCTCGGCTTCTTGGGCGTAGCGATCGGAGTTAATGGAGGCGGCACAGTATCCCGAGTCAGGAGACGGCGGGTATTAATGCATCTTGCGTGCTGTTGAGCGGTGACTGCGATGGGTGTCACCGTAGGACTTGGATACCGACTGAACACTTGGAGATGAGAGAACAATGATGACCTGCCCGGCAGGTAAGATGCTTGAAAAAGCCGGGAGCTGGCACGGGGGAGGACAGTCTGGACAGCCAGCGGCCCCAACCGGCAAAGAGTTGGCTGGTACATGGTTGAGGCCCGGTAGCCAGGGCGCGTCCAGAGTGTTGAAGGGAGGGGAAAGACGCAGAAAGAACACAAAGAAGGACGCAAAGCAAGGTGTGAGGACGATGGAATTGGATGCCAGGCATGCGATGCATAAGTACCTTAGGTACACACTCAGCGTCGTCGCGACCGTAAGCATAAGTGGGGTCGGGCCCGGAGGTGGCTCAGATCTGTGAGGAGCTTCAGTGTTTGGAATGTCTGGCAAGGAGCTAGGGATGCGCCACGTAAAGTACCTACGAAGACCTAAGGTATTTGGTGAACGGCCCTTCTCCGGAGTCCGAACGCCAACCGGGGCCGGGGCACGGGGGCGGAGGAACCGGCCCCACTATCGTTCCGGTCTCATACGGTACCGCGGCACTCGAGAAGTGACTAACTTTGTGCGTGTACCTTACGTTGTAAGTGCGCCGAACACAATTTCTGCACCTTCTTTGATGTCCATGAGAGCTGGGCCTCCGATCCCAAAACGGCGGGCTTGAGTTTTGTGGTTGTTGTGAGCTGCGTTGTGATTTGCGTGGCTCACTACTTGAATCATCAGCCGCTGAGGAAAATTAGGCGAGAGAAAGTTTATGTGGGCATTCTTCAAGGCACCAAAACTGAGTGCTCATAGAGGTCACCTTCTGGATGAGGACTAGTGTGTTTAAGCGCCAGATCGATTGGTCTCGCGAATCAAAGTAACGCGTCTCTCGTTTTCACATTTCGCGACGCAGTCAGAGGTCATGCTGCCTCAACGTCCAATGCTCCCAAACCAACACACTGGCAGGACACCGACGTAAACGGCCGCATAGAATCTGTCCCTGGTCTTCACCATGTCTGACTCTGACAACAAGGTGCCGAGTTACTCACGAGATGAAGTCGTTGCTGAGCTGTCGTCTTACTATGAGTTTCTGACACGAATTTTTCTTCCTCCGTCAGTAGTTCGATACCCTCCCGAGGGCGGGTGGGAACATATTAACAGAGACTGGATGAAGACCTTTGCCCTTGGCAAGAACGATACAGTGATTGATCTGATGAGGCATATCCCATACATCCGCCGCGACGAGGTCGACGACTTCGAACCGTGGCAGATTTTCGAGAGGACAACCGCGGTTGACTGCGCGGGTGACAGAGCTTTGAACTTTCCTGGCGAAAGCCGAAGAGAATTTTTGTTTGAGGGATGGACGATTAAAGTACCCGCGCACGTCTATGTGCTGGCAAATCATCCTACCGGACGCGACGGTCACCACATTTTCATTGATACGGCGCGCGGGACCGTCATTCTTGCTGATGTTCAAGTCGGGCCAAAGCCAACCAAACTGTCACAGGTTGACTCCCCTCCAGTCACCATCAACCCCAGAACCAGACTGATGCAACATTTAACAGGGCGATGAAGAGTGGCAGGAGCATGCCACCTACACAGTCACTGGCTTCTTCTCGAAGCTGAAGAAAATGTGGAGAAACTTTGAACTCGTATGTACCAAGATGTCTTTTGGGTTTTCTTGAACCGCCTAAGCCCTACAGTAAATTATCTCACACATTTAAAACAGCATGCCATTGAGAGAAGATCGATCGAATTGGGCCCTCCAGACAAGGGTATCATGAGAATCTACCGTCAAGAGGGGCTCTTTACCGAAGGATATGACCGAGAGCGATGCATGGATAGAGTAGAGAGATACGTCAACTTGGAGTACTTTCATTTTAGGCCTATCGCAGGAAAGCGGAAGCACGGTGATATTTCAGAGTAAACCTGTTCTCATGGCGGCACTGACCGGTAGGAACGGGCGGGTTCGGGGCTGGCTGACGCAAGTCTGTTGCGCACGAAAAGGTGCCCATCAATCACGGGGAAATTCGTTTGCAACGGGGAAATTTGGACAGTCTGAGCTGCCGTGCTCAGCTTCACGACTGTAATGTATGCTAGCGCGTTCAGCTCGGCATACTAAGATGAAAAGACTGTATAGTTTATCAGAGAGCTGTGAATCTCAGAGCTTCAAGGTGGTCTTATGTCTCACTTGGAGCACAGCTGGGCTTGGGGAATCACATACTGTTTGCAGCACAACAGTGGTTCTCGAACGGCTGATGGAAACTTGGGCTTAAGCATGAGCGCTTCGGGCGACACATGGCTTTTGCTACCCTTCACAATTGCTTGTTTTCAGTAGCCACTCAGCTGCGCCATACGAGCTGCTGATCAGCTCTATTTCAGCATCGCGAAGAAAATTGAAAATTAACACAATTCAGAGAAACTTCCGTCCCCCCAAGCAGAATTCTATAAATCATCAGTGGCCGCATGGCCTATTCTGCTTGATTCTCATTCCTCATCAACCTCCTCTATTCTTATGTCACCCACTGAAATCTATTCTCGCAAACATCACGACTGCACACCGGAACAATGGGCTCCTTGGCAGATTCTTCGAAAGATCCTCGTCCATTCAGTTTCCCTAGAGAAGTCGATGAGTGGATTCAGAAGAGTCTCGTTCACGATGTTTTCCACAACGATCTCGCTCCGCTGAACCACGCTGTTCGCGAAGGCTGGAAACTCAAAATCGACCAAATGAAGGATTGGGGAATTGTCGACGGCCACACATTTCTGCTGTTTGCCAGCGGTATGCTGAGATGGGTTCCGAAGGAAACATGCGATGCAAAACTCATCTACAACGCATTATGCATGCTCAACGTTATCCTCGACCAATGCCCCCTCGACAGGCCTGAATACAGCCTGCCCATCTCACCCGACTCGGTGGGCAAAGAACTTCCATCCTTGAGCCGTTGGCTCGTCAACTTCTCCAAGCGCATCGGCAGCTGGATGGATAATGATGAATCTATCACCTGCGAAGCAATTCAGTCTTTCAAAGACTCCCCTCTTTTCAACATTGACGAGGCATACGAGCCCAAGGGTGGCTGGAGGACCTTCAACGAGATGTTTTCTCGCACCCTCAAGAAAGGCATGCGACCCATTGGCGCGGGTGATCGCGAAAGGGATGGGGAGAACTATAATCGTGTCATTGTTTTCCCTGCCGACAGTACTTTCGATGGCGCTTGGCCGGTTACTAGGGACTCGAAGACACACGAAGACATTGTGCAAATCAAGGGTCTCGACTGGACGATCAAGTCGCTGTTGAATGGGTGCACGTACGCCGATTATTTCGAGGGAGGCGTGTGGATGCACGCCTTTCTCAACACTTTTGACTACCACAGGCAGCATGCCCCCGTCGCTGGCAAGGTCGTCGAATCCAAAGTCATTCCGGGTCTCAACTACCTCAATGTGACAGTCATAGAAGACCCCAACGACTCGAGCAAGAACATTTTGCATCAGCACCGTAGCTTCGGCCCGTGCGAAGGGCAGGCTGACCCTGACAAGGGTCTCGTAGGCACCCTCAACGCGCCCGACAACGCAGGCTACCAGTTCCTCCAGTCTCGTGGGTGTATTGTCATTCACAACGACCTCCTCGGCTATGTTGCAGTACTGCCCGTCGGTATGGCTCAGGTCTCTTCCGTTGTGACCCTCGTGTCCGAGGGCGACGATGTTGAGAAGGGTCAGCCCATCTCAAAGTTCTTGTTCGGCGGCTCTGATATTGTTCTCGTCTTCCAGAAAGAGGCGCGTGTGCAGATCCTTGGAGCTCAGGGGACTGACGACAAAGGACAAGCTACCAGCAAGCAGAAATATCTGGTGGGCATGCCATTGGGATATTCGTTGAAGGGTCTGGTCTAAACCTGAAGATTCAGCTGGGGTTTCGCAAGTTGTTACTAACCTGGTTATCGAGTACTACACCTCTAAGATTGGTTGCGTTTAGGAGATGGATTAACAGCTGCGATTTAGGCTGGGAGTAATGCTTCTACTATCAATCTTTCCCTGTTCAGTTTCGTCTGCACGCCTTCTTTGGCGCTTTACCTCAATCTAAGTCGTAATCTTATAAGTAATGATAACGTTATCTCTTTGTCTTCTGCCTCTAGCAAGTGGTCTGGACCTTTGCAAGATTTCCACTCAGAGTCAGGCGAACTATGCGTGGCGACCAAGAGATGCCGCTGGATTGCCATCCGACAATGAGTTATCTCGAAAATGATAGCAAAAGATAAGGCAGCAACATAGCTGGAGGCGAGAAATTCTTATTCAGAGTTCTGATAAGCTTCGTCGGCAATTCTGGCCAGTCATCGGTGAATACTCTGCTGGGGTCCCCAGACCGCAGGTGCGGGTCCTCCCCCGACGACACTCCGGATCCATGTGCCAGGTCACAATCGGGCTCCAGGACTCTTACGAGAAGAAGCCGGGTCAAAGCAATTCATCACTTTGCTGCTAACACTGAAAATCTACTTAAACATGAACGGCCGCAACATGTACCAATCATTCAACCGTTTCCATTCGAAGAGCGGCAGCTAGTAATCCATTTCCATCGACCGGGCCAATATGCGTGTCGTCACTTCAACATCCCAATTTGTTCCCAATATGGCTACCATTGAGCCTGAAATTGCTGCTGCGATGGACTTCGCCATAAACGATGCTAGAACATTATTAAGAGAAGTAGACTTAGACGTTGGTCGCCCCGGGTAGTGATCTCTGTGTAAATATTTCGACTGACCTTGGCTTCGGCGTATCAGATACACCAGCATCCTGAGCTAAATTACGAGGAGCACCACGCCCACGATACCCTCGTCACGGCAATAGGGAAGCTTGGCTTCAAAGTCACACCTCACGCATACGGCATCCCTACCTCTCTGGAGGCCGAGTACGGGGAGGGTGGCCGTTTGGTGGTCTTCAATGCCGAGTACGACGCGCTCCCCGGCATTGGGCACGCCTGCGGCCACAATCTTATTGCGACTGCATCCCTGGCGGGCTTCATTGCTACAGTCGCGGCTCTGAAGGCGTCCGGCAAACCTGGACGGCTAAGGCTCCTTGGTACTCCAGCTGAGGAAGGTGGTTGCGGTAAGGGTATGCTCGTTGGCAAGGGCGCCTATGATGGGGCTGCGGCTTGCGTCATGGCTCATCCTGCTCCTATGTTTGCCTACGGCACCGAAGGGCGACATGGCAACGCCTTTGTAAACCATGTCGCTACGACTAGCTTCAAGATCCAGTTCCAAGGCAAGGCTGCTCACGCAGCCGCCTCACCTTGGGAAGGCGTGAATGCTCTTGACGCCGCTATTCTCGGCTACAATGGCGTCAGCATGATGAGGCAGCAAATGACGAAGGATTCCACCGTTCACGGCATTTTTACTGACGCTGGCATCAAGAGCAACGTCATTCCCGACTTTGCTGCCGTTGAATACGCGGTGCGTGCGCCAACCATTGAGAAAACCGTGGAACTGCGAGACCGGGTCGTTGCGAATTTTTGGGCTGGCGCTATAGCCACAAGCTGCAAGATGCAGGTAGAACACGATGTCTTTTACGCTCCCATGCGTCCGAATAAGCAACTCTCCCTGGTATTTGCCGACTGCGCGGCAGACCTGGGCATTCCCATGTGGTGCGACGTGGACACGAAGGAGGTTATCTCTGGCGCTACCGACCAGGGGAACGTCGGTTGTGTTGTCCCCGTCATCCACCCCATCTACGGTATCGAGGCCAAGGAAGGGCAGAGTAACCACACTGTCGGCTTCACAGAAGCTGCTGGAGCCGAGTCAGCGCACGAGCGCACTCTCATTGTTGCCAAGGCTCTGGCGAGATCTGCCTGGGCTGTCCTGACCGACGATGAGGTTGCCTCCAAAGTTCAACGCGAGTTCGAAGAAACAGTGGCGGAGAGAAGACTAAAGATTTCTCATGATGAGGAGATGTCTTTTATTGTGAAAGATTCCCCCAGGACTAGCGCGATTGTCAAGAAACTGTGCTCTTGTGGAAATGCTATCTAAGTTAATTGCATGGATAAGTCAAATATACAACATATAACTGATATATGTTTCCTCACTTTATGAATTTCTTTTCAAATCAGATATATCACATTAGCAGATTTGAACTGCATCAACTGTGTTTCTTTGGTTTTTCATTGATTTTCATAAATCATAAGTCGGTCCAGCAGCTTTGCAGAAAGCCCAATTGCAATCAAATACATGCTCTTAAAATGACTTCCAAATCAAATAACGAGTCTACTTTGAGACGAAGACACCCATAGATCTTCCTAGACCACCAACAAGATGGGCCGAAATCCAGCGCAGGAAAGAAGACCACTGATTTCATGGCACATCCTAAATTGGAGCAATAATCCTTGTTTTTCGAAGCGCTCCGAGCTTTCGGCCGGGCAGCCAGATTCAAGAGGAGAATGTATGTGCATCTTTGCACTAAATAGAGGCCTATATCCGAATTCTGTATATGCATGTATCTTGCACTTGTGACCTGGAAAGTCCCAAGAATGGTTTAGGTAGTAGAGAAATCGAAGACGTATGAAGCAACCCGCATGGGAGCCAGTCATTTGTGGGTCTCACTGCGGATCACGATAAGACGCTGTCATCCTTGGTCCGGAATTAAGAAATAGTACTCCGAGACACGCTGACAGGTTCTTTTTGGATTATCCGGGAATAGTGTGACCCTCAATAGTATAGCATCATTGTCAAATTCGTTCTGAACGCCTCGAATCATCCAACATAATATACCATGGGGTCCCGTATAATTTGGTATGCCAAGTCTGGCTTCAAACTTGGTGGCCATCGAACCATGCCAAAGAATCCTAAACCTGGATTGACTTCTTTTTTTGGTCATACTTTCATCTTCTACCTCGGAAATCTTCCACCGTCTGCTGCGCACAAGCTTGTTGTCCTCTTCCTATAGTAGCCGGAGAAGACAAAAGATCATGGGAGAAGGCCAGCAGCCGATGCGGTCGGAATGTGAAGTTGAAGCAGATGACAGCGATCCACGATTGCCGTGCAACTGGTCAAGCAGCAAGAAGTGGACTAACGTTCTCCTGATTTCCCTGTTAACACTCATCTCGTAAGTTGCTTAGTCGTCTTCACATACGTGGCTAACATGATGCTAAGCCCTTTTGGCTCTTCTATGTTTGCCCCAAGCACCGCTTCCGCTATGAAAGACTTCCATCAATCAGAAAACCCCGACCTCGAAGCTTTCAGTGTATCCATTTTCGTTCTTGGGTATGCCTTGGGGCCCCTCGTGCATGCGCCGCTGAGCGAGATGTATGGAAGGATAATCATTTATCACGTCAACTCTGTCTTATTCATCATCAGCAACGTAGCATGCGCGCTATCGATCAACTTGCCAATGCTGATTATTTTCAGATTTGCCACTGGTCTCGTGGGATCAAGTCCTTTGGCACTTGGTCCTGCAAGTGTAGCTGACATCTTCAAAACAGAAGAGCGAGGGAAGGCTCTCGCTCTCTGGAACCTTCCCGTCCTACTTGGCCCCGCCATCGGACCTCTCGTCGGGAGCTACCTGGCGGCTGCGATGGGCTGGAGATGGAACTTTTGGTTTCTGGCGATAGCAGTGAGCCTAGATTTCTTGATATTGGCTTCCATGCTCATAGGGAAAGTTACTGACAATGTGTTGTAGATGTCAGTGATTTTTGTGGCAACTGCAGCGTTCCTCAGGGAATCTCATCTACCAACACTCTTGAAGCGCAAGGCTCGAACCAAGGACAAAGCGCGGGACGCTCTTGGGTTTGTCAACGCGTCCGACTTCTCTTCACCACCTCGCCTAAGAACTTTTACAAGCGCTATTATTCGACCCACCAAATTACTCTTCCTGTCGCCAATTGTGTTCTTCCTGTCGTCACTTGCAGCGATTAATTACGGCTATATCTACATCATGTTCACAACTATGAGCTCCACCTTTGTCGAACGTTACGACACGTTTGACGAAAGAAACGTAGGACTGACGTACTTGGCTTTCGGGATTGGCAACGTTTCTGGAAACATTGTCTTGAGCGTAAGTTCAGATCGGATAGTCAAGCGAGGCGCCGCGAGATCCGGAACCATGAAGCCGGAATACAGACTTCCCCCGCTACTTCCTGGTAGCCTTCTTGTTCCGGCTGGACTGCTCCTGTACGGGTGGACACTGGAACACAACGTGCACTGGATTGCACCACTGTTCGGCATGCTCCTAATTGGCTTTGGTACAATCCTTATCTTCGTTCCTATTAATGCGTATCTGGTAGATGCTTTCACCGAGTACGCAGCGAGTGCCACGGCGGCCAGCACTGTGCTACGAAGCTTGGGAGGTGGCCTACTTCCGTTATGTGGTGGCAAGATGTATCAGGCGTTGGGTGATGGTATAGGCAACACCATCTTGGCTGTAATCGGGGTGGTTGTCGCTCCTGTAGCGTTTCTGATTTACTTCAAAGGAGAACAACTGAGAAAGAGCACTCAAACTTCCCGGTGACTGGGACTTTCAGCCTCAGTGGCGAGATGTACAGGTCCAGATGCTGGCAGCCATGAGTATACTTTAGCGCCAGAACAAAGAGATGAATCTTTCCACCTCCGTATATGAATCTTCTTCGCTTGGTTCTACTGGGAGAAGAAATCAAGACAATTGAAATGGGGCACTAGTATGGAACAAGAGCCGATGGGACCCATGGTACTCATAAGGTAAATTCTGAAAAACCAGAGGAAACTGCAATATTATGTAAAATAACTACCCTTGACCTATGGACTTTCACGATATACTTTCTTCAGCAAACTTGCCGCAAGAGCTCTAACCTCGCCACCATGCCACTGAATATAATAACAACACGGCAATCCTAGGAACACTAATTAGATCGGGATGTTAGTTAAGAGTACAACAAAGAATTAATCATTTCGGGGATCGGAGGTTTGCCATACGCATGAAACCACCTGAAGAAAATAGTTAGTATCCATCTTTGAAAGCATCATCTGCGGGTTTACTCACAGCCCCAGCACCGCAACCATCGTGAGAGGGAGGAGATGAACAGTCCCCGCGCCAAATTGGGCGATCATCAGAGGGTTGATCACCACACTGGAAGTTTGCATTAGTAAGACAAGTTACTCTTAACCCATTTCAAGAGAAATCTGGAATCATACGCAGTAGAAGTAGTAACCCTAGTGAAAAGATCTCATTAGCTATGACTCTCAAATATATTGTGTCAGTGAATATTTCTTACTGGGCCACAGTCTTGGCCCTGAGGGGCTGGGTTGCTAGTGCCGTAGTTGCACCAATCTGCCATTGCCGGCGCAACTAGGCTAACAGCGAGGATGATGATGTGGCCGCACTTCATCTTGAATATTTTGCGAATGTTGAAGAGTAGAAGAAAGAATTCCTGTAAAGAGGTACGAAGTTCGAAGAGAGTGCTGCGAATTGATGCGAGCGCGCGATCTTTAAGGCATGCAAGCCGGTTCCAGGGAACAGAAAATGTCTGTACAGCTCGTTATTTCGGCGTAGACCGAAAGCATAACATACGCAGTATTCATCGCTAAAGGAGCCGGCGGGATGGTTTCTCTTTACAAGCGGTATGGAGTACAAGTATCCCACCTGTGCCGGCCAGGCGATCCATCTCTCACTTGGGCTCTAACCAATCGCCATTCTTTCTCCTGATCGGCATCATGTATGAATTCCTGCGTTAATTATCTCCTTCTAAAGCCAGCATAGCCACCCTCAAGCAACTTCAGATGTCAGCAACCGAACATGAACACAATACTGCGATCCTCCGTGAGCACAGCTTCATTCCTCTTCACCTACGAACAGAAAGTTTAACATTTGTACCAGATTTAACACGATAAAATCGTCCGTGAGACTCCTTGTACTCTTCGATGCTACTGCTGACGAGCGCCGCCTGACGTCCGTAGGGCAATGGCAGACATGTTGACATTCCTCACCACGACACTTACTAGGAGGCCGAATACTATGACATTCACTTCTGCTTTCCCACTTACCCGGGACCATGACTCGAGATAGCGATCGCCCAGGTAGCTGACTCATTAGACACCGGAAGCCCTCCCGGTTGTTCAAAGCACTTGAGCAAATACCCCTTTTGAGGGCAGACTGCGTACCTCGGAAGCTCAGCCGCGATTCGTAGTATTTCTCTCTTAGAACCACCGTCTCCATGTAGTGATAGCGGCGCCCAGATTGAAAACACATGTGGGCCGTAGAACAGCATGCTCACACGAGACCCCCTGGAGATCCAGTAGTACAATGGCTGGAAATTGCCACGTTCGGCGTGATTTGGTCGGTTAGAGAGACCGACAAAGTTGGAAACTTGCCTTGTAAAATAAGTGGAAGACGACGGACCAAAGCGAGCCCGACATAGTTCGCAGACATTTATTCAAGAGTTTTGCTAGTCGGGCAGTGTTAGTTAGCTGTCCGGGCAATGTCCCCTATAATTCGTGATCATAGAGAGAACGATAGAACTAGTAATAAGAAGAATAATAACGATAATGATAACGACGACGATAACGATAATAATAGATAATAACGACGACGAAAGTGAGAATAGGAAATATAGTTACTTTAGAAATAGGCTACGGATTACATACGCGTATATTAATACTACCCGGATAGCTAAATAACACTACCCGACTAGCAAAACTCTTGTTCAAAGACTCTGAGCCAAACAGAACTAATAAACCTACAAGAAGCAGGGTGATAAAACATATAGGTGTGATATCCTAACAATTGAGGTGCGGGAAAATGACGTGGCTGGTAGAAAAGCGTTTCCTTTGAGCAATATTCCGAAGGAGAGAACTAATCATCTCTTGAGACCGAGGGGTTGAAATCTTGCGCACTGCTGTCCTTCAATGCCGCCGCGTAGCTGCTATTCCCAAGCTTATGCAGCAGCCAATCCCGATGAATTTCGTCGTTGCTTTCTCTCGCCATTACGAATAGTGCCCACTGGTTCCTCCACATGACTGGGTTATCCGTACACTGTGTTGCCATCCGGAATATCACGCGGAGAAGATTGTCTTTGGCGACGGCAAATTCTCGCTGGAGTGATTCGGATGGGGCAGTAGAAGCCATGTCAACCAGAACACAGACTAGAATAGCATAAAAATGCGCTACTATGCTGTATGAAGTTTCAATCAACTTTCTCCCAGCTGAATACGGAGCTTCTGCCAGCTTGAAAATGGCAGAATAATCCTGTTGCAGCCCAGAAGAGGGCATTCGAAGTCAGCTAATGCAAAGTGCGAGGCCGACATGCAATCTGCAGGAAGCCAAGTGGGACATGGGAAGGCTGTATGCTTACCTCGCGTAACGTATGGAGAATCGCTTCTATTTCTCGTAGCTCCTCGACATCAATGCCACACGCATGGGCTCTATTTAGCCGATTAAGACATATGTTTGAGAAAAAGTGAAGTTCTAGTGGCCTTGACCGCTCTACATCGTCCATCAGTTCCTCCCATGGATAGGAGGATCCGAAGAAGTCAGCATGAATGTTACGAGAACAGGCGAACAGAGAGCGTGATGTGTCATTGCCGGAAAGTATTAGTTCAGCAAATTGTCCTCCGGAACCACAAAATTCAGAGTCCAGGTCCTCGTACGCTGTGAAGAGCAGGAGACTAGCGAGGAGACTCTTTTTCGCCATTGCCACCGGATTGAGAGACGATGAATCTGCGGCGAAGTCCCCTTCAGCAGAGGCACTACCACTGAGACTCTCAAAGAGGCCCCTGTTGGAACCAAAGAGTTCGAGAATACGATGTCTGTGAACATAGTTGACTAACGCGGTGCTGAGATTCTTCATAGCCGAACGAGACTTGCCGTCCCAAATGGCACGGTACGTCAGCTGTAGCAGCCAGAAGACCATAAAGGCTTGCGCGTGATTGTATGAATGCTCTTGTATTCCGTCGACAAAACGTGTCGTGCCCCTTTTAAAATGGGATTTTGCAGTCCGCAACACTTGATGATCCGAATGGCCCCGAGCGACGGTACTAAGACAAGAAGCCAACAGCAAGTGCATAATTGCGGCGTCGTCGTAGGCATGATGAAGCACTATGGCGAGCTTGGACCAGAGAAATGTCTTGGGACTAAGCTTTGAAAATACATTTTCGAAGAAGTACAGGGCATCCTGTTCCAAGGGACCAAAGAGAATCGAGCATCGGGAGGGTACATGCCGAGCGGTCAGTGTCGACAGAGGGAGCGCTGCTGCGTTACTACTCGCAGTCGTCAAGGTCGCTTGTTCTTCTATGTTCGCAGTGCGGTTTAAAACCAGATGAGTCGTGCCCATCGACTCGGTTGCTTCCACTGCTGTCTCTGATGGACTACCCTCCCAGTCGCCAGGGTTTTCGTCGCTTTCGGGTGTAAATTGGGCGGCATGACTGGCAGTGCTGTGCGACGGGAGGATTGGGGGAGGCACATACTGAAGGCGAGATTTAAGAGAGCCAAATCCTCGCCTTCGTTCTCGAAGGGGAACATGGTGTTCGCGCCATTCGCAATGCCGCTGTAGGCGGCTGCATCGCTGGCATACTGGCCGGTTCTCTGAGCATTTGACCTTGGACCGTACGCACGTCACGCATCCGTTGGTCGATCGACTCCATCGTCGGGAGGCTCGGTCGGCCGTGTCTTGCAGCATGGCCTCTTGTGAAGCGGATGGTTCAGCGGTCGGGGTGCCGTTGGTCGGTGGATGAGGAGGCAAAGAAACGGCGGATACTTGATACGGAGTCAATCGGGATCTTGTATCAAACCCCGGCAGACTGTTGATAAGATAAAGGGACGGGAACAATTGGATACATCATGAGCTGATAAGTGATATCGCGGACACGCCCGTATGCAGGTTCCTTTGATTATTCTCGAAGAAAATTCCGCCTGGGTTGGGAGACTGAAGATGGTTTATCACGACCATGCATTTCTTTCGCTTTTGGCCTTGTTGGCCCGGTGCCGTAAAGTCGCATGCCTCGAAGAGAAGCACGTTCTGATCAAGTTTCGGCGCGTGTCGAAGCCACGACGATCGGAATCTCTTATCTCGGCTTCACCCTGATCGGCGCGAATCGCGCACAGGTCTCAACTACTGGCACCGGCGAACCTAGACAAGTTAGACTTTTTGGTATTCTCGGGAGCGATCCGGATCTGCAATGAACATCGCGATACACTTGGTTGGCGCGTTCTCTTGCGAGCACCCGGAAAACTGTTCGGGAGGGATCTCAGTCTGCGGCGACATTGCTCCGATGGGGCTGGTTTAGGGTGGCCTGCATTACTCTGTGATTAGCATTCGAAGCGGATGTAAGAAAATTGCCGTTAATCACCTTACGAAAAACCAGTGTGGTTCTCGGGACGCAGTATTTACCTGAGGTTCCGGATAACTGGATAACTGGAACCAGAAGAGAAGGCCGAACCCGCGCAAATGGCTTTTCTTCGTGAGCGGGAACAGGCTGAGTAGCAATCGCTCTGAAGGCAGAGGCAAGGCGTATACGACGGTATGCCGAGCATCGCTCAGATAGATCTTGAGAACTTGAGATGTTACCGAATGCTCCGCTTGCAGTCGGAGAAGGCAAACCCCCGGAGCGAGATTCCTCCAAAAGCCGGGGCATCTGACTTGGGCTTGCGGAGGGCAGCACTTGCCACGAGAGCTTTCTAACAGGCTGCGTCTCCCGAGTGAGTTCCTCCTTCGAAGCACAAAATGGCCCGCATGCATCTTTGACAACTTCAACATGCACATGCGTAACGTCATCTGCTGTCTTCTCCACAGCAAGCAGAAGGGGCCAGGGATTGAGATGGTGTGCATTGCGCACTCATTACAAGAGTTTCTTTTGCCAACGGAAGAAAACATACGCCATCCATAATCTTAACAGACGTTTTATCACGTTTGTTAATCATAAAGTTGCGTCTTGATTGCGCGCTACCATCCACGAATCCTGCAGGTCGCCGCGGCGTTTGAGAAGCCATCCCGAAGGAATAGCGCGGGCTGTTTGGTGGAAACGGGCACGCTCCCGCGGGAACCAACACCGGCTTGACGCCAAGATCGGAGGATTCCAAGTCAACTGACAGAGATTTCCGATCCGAAGGGATTCCGGGGCTGGAGACGAAGAAAAAGGTCCGATTCTGGCGCAAGCTTTTGGAGCAACGACGCCAACAAGTTGATGAAGAGAATTGGGTCCGCCAGACTTGAGCCGCTTGACGTCCCATTCTATAGCTGGACGGTTATATCAACAACCTTTGGAGAAAGACAGTCTCAAGACATGGCTAGCCGGGTCTCTTCGTGTTTCCAAGTTACGGCTGTTAGTTAAAGATTGCGATGGGCACGACGCGAACACTTGTGGGGGTTTCCTGACTCGGGCCGTCGTGGAAGGGGGCGGAGACGACGTGGAATTGCCACTCGTTGCGGGATTCGACTTCAAGTGACGCTGAAGACTGTCGTAAGAGTCGCCACAAAAGTCTCGACTGGTCAAACACCCGTTCTGTTCATCCGTCTTCCCCGTGCATGCCGCAAAAAGGGGTGACCCTTGAGCGCCTTTCTATGGGAACCTCGGTTGGAGGATCCCGCCCCCCGCCGCTGCCTGATCTCAACCGGGTGTTACGGCTGGCAGCATCATATCATCCATGACCGCCAGCCTTCAGCTTGACGAAAAACGAGATCACTAGAGCTGGTCTTCGAAGCGGTGAAAAAGACGGACAATGTTCGATGCTGATGCATGCCCTTTGCTGCCGCCGGAACAGTCCGCGAGATTCATCACCTCCGAATTAGGCAATTTCGGTGGCCCACCTCGACGAGATCATAAGTCATGCTGTATGAGTTTCAACGTCCAAGGTCTGGCTGGTCGGAGCTCTGGAGACTAGCTTCATCAGAGGGCCCATCTCGCGTAGCACCAGCGTGAGGCTAACGACAGAAGGCAATTTAGAGTGCTGGACTTGTGCGGCCCACGCGTGAAGGTCTCGAAAGTTCGAGGAGAGAAGGCAGAGAGATCAGATGAACCACACACGCACACAGACTGGTCTAGGCGCCCATCTTCTTAGTTGCACACGCATGACACAAGCCCAACCGAGAAGAATCCCGACACCACGGATTCAACGGCGCGGGAATGCGGGGCCGCGCGGCCCGTGCTGGCTCTTTCAGCTGGCGGCACGAGCAGTACAGGATGCAAGATGAGTGTCAGTTGTGTGTGTGTTTGCGTGTTTGCCTCTACAGGAGAAGCTTTGCTCCCGGGAAGTTTGTCCTCTCTACTCGAGCCAAACCGTTTCTTTCTTCTCTGAAGCTGAGATGGCCATGTCTCGGTACGAAACACAGTTTCTCATCACCAGAGCGCTTTTTACTGTGCGTTCCCACATTCCTTAGCTACCTGGGCCTGGGCTCCACGATCCCACGCAAGCCGGTAGTTTAATGTCTGATTCAGGGGTAAAACGAAAAAGAAAAGCGACAACGAGAAGAATCATCACAGCAGCTTTCATTGGCCGCAACCCCGCACGCCGCACAAGCCCATGGGCGCTGACGCCTTATCCCACTCTTTGTGGACAGCATAACAAACAAACCTTGACGCCAGCCTTTCGGAGGTTGGCTTCTAGGGCCTCTGTAACAGGATTAATTAGCGGCAAGGGAAGAGGGTGTCAGAGACTGAAATGAAATGCGGGGCCCGGGCCATAGGCGAGCAACACCATCTTCTGTCAACGCTTCATCCAACGAACCCCGGGCGGAACATATTTCATCCCCGGTTGTTCTGGACTCTCTTGAAGGCGTCTTGGGCGTCCCCCGGGATGTCCTGTCAGTTTCCCGGGCCTGGACCGCCCTGCACGGCCCTGCACGGCCCCACGTAGGATCCCTTCCATTTACCGGCAGCGAGACTAAACACTTAAACCACGCAAAGTGACATAATGTAGGGCTATTCCCTTGCCCGTCTTCTCTCGCCCCCGTGGTGAGACATGGGATGGGCTTTAGCCCCCGTCAAGTTGAACCATTCATCTGGACACTGGTCGGAATCCTACCACACAGACATGGTAAACCAAGATTTGACCTCCTCTTCCTCTTCCTTCTCCTCGGCTGCCTGGGGCCTCGCCTCGACTGATCCCCCATCCTTGATCCATCCCCCCTCCTCTCGCTTGCACTTGCGAGAAAAAAGAAGCTGCCGTGTTTGTTATTGTTGTTGGCCCATGTGGAGGCCGCTAGGAACCCTTCCCCCTACATGACCCCTCCATCTCTGATTAGCGCTCCAGGGGTATGTGGAAGGGATTCGTAAGGCTTTCTCGGGGCTCCAGAGGAAGAGAGGGCCAATATGGTGAGACGCCGCGTCCGGCTTAATCATTTCGAGGTGGAGGGCTTGCATACGGGAGATCACCGCTCGTCTCATGTTTAATGGCGCAGCGGCAAAATATCCCGACCTCACGAGATTCGCCCTGCCAAACTCGACAAGGTATATATCATGACCTGATCTCGCCCTCAATTGCTTTCGTCTTTTTTCTCTCCTCACCAAGGTACAATTGTCCTTATCGCGTCTGTCATTCCTTTACAACACCCTTCGGGTTTTATTATCGACGCTCTTTTGGCAGGATCCATCCTCCGTTCATTCATTACACAACCAAGCTCTTCAGCTGAATCCCGGTGATTTCAAAACCCCCCAAAACAACCATCAAGATGCGTTTCTCCGCTGTCGTCGTCGCCGCCATAGCCACCAACGCCGCTGCTTGGCAACCCCAGCGCCAGGCCTACGGCTGGAGCTGGAACGGCTTCGGAAACTGGGGCAAGGGCCAGACCTCCGTCTCCGGTTCCATCCAGCCCACCCCCGTGCCGGTCGCCACCACCCCGGCCGCCGTGATCCCCACCGCCGTCCCCACCACCTCCGCCCCCGTCGTTGAGGAGGCCGCCCCGGCTACAACCAGCTCCGCTCCCGCTGCTGCCGCCACCACTGCCGCCTCTTCCTCCGGCAGCCTCACCTCCGACCAGCAGGCGGCCCTCGACGCCCACAACAAGGCCCGTGCCGAGGTTGGCACCCCCAACCTCGTCTGGGACGAGACCCTCGCCGCCAACGCCCAGGAGTGGGCCACCCACCTGACCTCCGTCGGCTCCCTCACCCACTCCCAGGTCTCCGACCAGGGCGAGAACCTGTACATGCAGTCCGGCGGCGACTCCCCCAACCTCAACGCCGTCAACGCCTTCGTCTCCGAGAAGTCTGAGTACAACGGCGAGACCATCAGCTCCACCAACTACATGAGCTTCGGTCACTACACCCAGGTCGTCTGGAAGTCCACCACCAAGGTCGGCATGGCCACCGCTACCGACTCCTCCGGTGCCACCTACGTTGTTGCCCGCTACTCTCCCCCCGGCAACTAGTGAGTTTATCCCATGATTCTTTTGAGTTCGTCAACAAATGACTGACACCATCGACAGCATCGGCGAGAAGCCCTACTAAATCAATCACCTTCGACATCACACACGAGAAACGCCACTGGAAGGGCTTTGTTCATGACGGGATCAGACACAACAAGCTTTTGGCAACCGAACTTCTTTCTGGTTAGCTAAAAATGGGCTGGGCCGAACTAGTTTCGACAAACCATGTTACACGATAACTTCTATTCTTGGACATTTTTGTAGATGGGTTGTACGAAATGGGTCGACAACTTTCACACACGCCATGAGGCAGAGCAATCTAGGCCTGAGAAGAAAAGACAAGCCATGACCTGATGAGACACCAATAACACTGCCTTTTGATGCTTCACATTTTTCTCGGCCTGGTGATGATGGACTCGTACATCAGTGTGTTCACAGCATACCGTTCATTCAAAAACTACTGCTCGTAATGTTTTCTGCGGATAACATTTGGCAGAATTGATCCATATATCATGTCGAGAAGGACCCAGCGCCAAAATGGCTGTGACCCGTGAGATGGTGGCTTAGAGAGAGTCAGTGCACGTCGGTCACGAAAGTTTGGTTGCTGTTCACTACGTACCCAATCAATAATAGTTCCAGAGGGGCCACGCATGACCCCATTCTTCGCAGTCGTCAGATAGCCTCAACCGGAATGGCAGGCCCTTCGCGTTCGCGAGTGGGTCGAACAAGAGCTCCTCAACGGGCCGGTCTCGAAAGCTACATATCCCGCCGTTGACGAAGAGTCTAATTCCTCTCGCCCACTTCGACGAATAGCTACAAATGGATTCCCACTCATGCTGGTCGAAGATGCGCCCAATTTTCTCAGCTGGTAAAATCGCGTCATGGCCGTGTTCATCGAAAATGGACCTCTCATCTGGCCCCAGTGGTTTAATGTAGAGAGTGAGAAACTTGAGGTTCGGCATAGCAGTGAAAACTCCCGCACATAGTGTGTCATGGTAATGTATGTTTTCTACCACTCGAAACATATCCAAGCTCTGGGGATGAAGCTGGGACAGTAAATAATTTCTGCAGTACACATGGCACATGTCCACCGTAGGACAGACATGTACAAACTGCGCGCAAGCAGCGGAAGTATGGCACCGAATCCCAGCTGAACGTCCGTGGTAGTGAAACCTTGGGAACCGTCGATCGACCAGGCTGCGTGACCTCCGGTCTATATGAGCAATGATGCTAAGACGGCGGAGGCGGTAGAGCCTGATGCGTCCGCCGTCACAGTTGTAGGTGAAAGTAGAGAGAGTCTTTTGGAAACATTTCCTCTTGTTGAGTCCCCATGTAGCAGGCCAGGAAGAGATTTCGGCATGAGCAGATTCGAGGAAAGCATCGACTATGAGCAAATAGATCTCGTACGTAACCCTGAAAAACCCTGTACTTGCTGAAGTTGAGCCATGGGGACCCAAAGCTGCAAATGTATCAGCCATGGTGAGGGTGGGTGTATTGGCCAGCCGAGCAGGTGTTGAGATAAGTAGCTTTCAAAGATCGAACCGACCAAAGTTGAAGTATTTATGTAGCAGCTAGCATCGACATCAAGTGTCTGACATTCGGTATGTGAGCTCGCACCTTCCACTACGTCCCGGCGAGCGTGGGCGCGACCCATGTTACTAAGCCAAGCAAGAATCTTCTAGGAGGAAAAGAGGTTTCATTCAGGGTTGCCTGTTTCATATCTCTCAGTAGTGAAAGGTTCTTGGTTGATAAGTTGTACAGAATCCTTGCTCATCAGAGAGGCTTTGACGCCCAATAGTGACTTCAGGGGATGATGGGCTTTATGCATGCGTTGGCTGTCACCACCTTTGTGCGCAACGCCCCAGATGTCTTCGATAGTGTGCTCGAGTAGTCTCAAATCCCGACTTGAAGATTTCTCCCACTTTCTCAAAAGGTCTTCACGCTGCTCTCATATAGAAGAATTTATAGGATCTCATTTATCAAAAACCCATGACTGAAAAAAGGGTTAATTGGAAGGGCGTTGTCGGGCGATGCCATATTGATCTATCTGCCTAGTGTTGACAACGTGATACGCGAGTGTCCCTTCCCCTCATTACTGACCCCAACACATCCCAGTGAAAATCCTTCGCGCGTCCTTGAATTTCATTACTATGGCAACATCCTGCGGAAGACGGTAAAGGCATCGTCTACGACGGGAATTATACCGAGGCTTAATAGCGGTAACTGACGTGCAGAACGTTCGCGCAGGCTGTAGCGGGGCAACGCGTCCAAGCAATCATTACAGTCAGCAACAAATTGTCTGGTCCGGAAAGGCAATTCTCCTCAAGTGAGGTCGAAAAGAAGCTCATCTGACGGCCAGTGGCCAGGCCACGCGCAGTCCTCATGATAACAGTAGAAGAGCCGAACCCCCCTTTCCCATGCAAATGAGCACTGTCGAATAATCTTCCACCATTCCGTGATATCGACGTTTCCAGAATGGGTTTCATATACCGCAGGAGGATCGTTGTGTGCGTGAAAGCTGGGATTGGCCGCAGACGGTCCGTAGGGTCCTGGCGGTTGCCATATGAAGCTAACGGTTCGAAGGTTCGGCAGAGCGGAAAGGAAACTTGGGAGGCCAGGATCGGTGCCACACCAGGCGTGGAGCTGGATATTCTCGATCGCCCGCAGCAGTCCCGAGTTATCGGGAGCAGGCTGGGATAGTGAACGCAGCCTAGGCATGGTGGTGTACGTAGGTTCCCAGTCATGCTCAAAGATGTCGACGCTGGGACAGACGTGTGCGAATCCCGGATAGTCGATGTAATTTTGATCGATCCAAAGGTCTTTGTACGGAAACTTCGGGAACCGTTGATTGACCTTCTTTTGCGATGCTACATCGGTTTGTGAAATTCCGCGAAGCAGGCGATGGCGTAACACAATGTGGCCGCCGTCGCTGTTTAACACCAATCTCGGCGGGAGATACATCTGGCGAGGAAACGCAAAGCTACCGGTGCCGTACTGCTGTTCGCTCTTGGGACGCCATAAGCCCGGTTTAGCAGAGAATTCGGTATAGGCAAAGTCGAGGAAGGCGTCTGCTATGAGCAAGTAGATCTCGTATGGGAGCTTGGGGCCCTCCATCTTTGCTGACGGAGATCTATGATGGCGCAGGGAGGAGAGATCAGATCGATCAACCATGATGAGGGTGAGACTGTAGGTCTGTGAGGAGCGCGTTAAGATGATGGAGATGCAGAGATGAACCTGATGAAGGTCGAAGCATGTGTTGCCCTTGGCCCTGCTATCAAGTCTTACACATTCAACAAGTCAAATCGCCCCTTCCAGAGACGCAACAAAGGCAATGGAAGTTTCCAGATGTCTTCAGCATCCTTTCTAACTCCTCCTGGTTTCTCAAAAGCTCATTATGGAAAAAGGTTTACGAAGTACTTGACAACGAAATGTCGGAACTCCTTTCGCAGGCGATACATGAGCCATCCCACATCTTACCATCCGTCACAAATATCAGGGCGGTTATTCTGGTGATCTCAAAAGAAATAACAGTATCCTCCATCAGGCGACTTCATAACTATGAAACAAGGAGACTTTGAGCATCTGTGATGCTAGTATGTTTCTTCACGCAGCCATCGGATTCGATGCGTTGCGCCATGATGCATTCGAGCGGAGTGGAGGAGAATGCCAGGGACCCTATCTGCTTGCGTACCTGAGACACACGCGTCCCAGGGAGGGCAACGCATCACGGCAGCCTTGGCAGCTGACAGCGAACCTGAGTATTCGGACTGCGTCTCGTTTGCCAGCACCAGCTTGGAGGTAGAAAAGCTCTGCCGACTGCCAATCTGTAGAGTACCAGCTGCTGACTGGATTGACAAAGAGTCTGACTCCTTTTTGCCATATTGACGAAGACTCGCGAATGGCCTCCCACTCCGGCGGGGTGAAGACCCGGGCGTGAGGTTCCTGTGCAAAAGAAGACTTGCCATGTTCGTGGGGTCCCATCGTGTCGATGTTCTTCCGGAAACTGACGGACTTGAGGCTCGGCATGGCACTGAGGGATTCTAGGTCGAAATCTCCGTTCATGAAGTGGACGTGCTCAAGCAGCCGGAGTAGGTCCAAGAATGGAGGCCCAACAGGGGCGGCTAGCCGCGAACGGGGGATATAAAGGGGGGCACTAAAGAGGAACACGTCGACTTTGGTGCAGACGTGTGCAAATTCATGTGCGTCATAAATGCCATGCTCGAGGAAAGCGAGTCTAGGGAACCATTGATTGACCATGCGACGTGACCTTAGGTCGACCTGTGAAATACCGCGCAGAAGGCTGAAGCGTTTGTTCCTCATATCGTCGCCATCTTCGTCGCAGTCGTCAATGTAGTACACCTCGGGGATCGGAATATGGCTGTGTCGGACTGGCTCGCATTCGAGCTGCCACGAGGCTGGATCTGTAGAGAATTCGGCATGAGCAGACTCGAGGAAGGCCTCGACGACGAGCAGAAAAATCTCATACGGGAGCTTCGGTAGCTCTGGCGTTGATACTGGGGTATGTGAACCCGAAGCTGAGTCGTCGGAAGGGTTGAACATGGCAATTGTATTGACCAACGTGGGTGCGTTTGAATTGATGGACTTTGATGAGTGAGTTCAAAGTCAATAGATGTGTACCAGAGCCGAGAGGGGTTTGTCAACTGCCCACTGCGACTATTAGATTCGATGGACGGCATCGAACTTTTCAATATTTGGAGCACATACCGAGGTTTCTCTAGCTCCCTTCTGGAATAAGAAAGTCTTCGTTTAGACTGGGCCAAGATTGGCATCTCTTTAACACGGACCCGGCGGAGCCATTCTCTTACTTAGAAGCAGAATCAAGTCGTCAAGAAGAGCGAGATAAGTCTTTTAAGGCAACTTCATCAATTCGAAAGTCAGAATTTTCTGATGACCTGCGTCAAAATGAGAAGGTTAGGCTACCTTGATGGAATCACGCCACCATGAAATCCCCCTATCGACGCCAGCTGGCTCCGTGTGCTCAAGGTTTGTGTGACCCAACAAGAAAACGAGTGAAGCTGTCTTCCACATGGTGTCTTCAGACCGGATTGAGCTTTATCTGGTACCGACTCGAAGTCGCCAGTGTCCCTGTATAATGCTCCCTAGGTATCAAACGAGGTGTCCCCGCGCCAATTTGTTCATTGCCACATTTTCATCGATTTGGAGGGCAGGAAAAGACGCAGAGAACCCTTAGAATAATGTTTGTGTTCAACATACCAAATCACTGTGATAGATACATGGCTTGGCAGTTGCTATTTAAGTTCAAGCCAACCAAATATCACCAAATGCCTTCTGTAACCAACCCAGAAGAACCTCAAAGGCAGAAATTCTCCTCCCCGAAAGAACCTTGATACCAACAACCCAACCCAAGCCGTCATCCGATTCTGCAGCCGTCTCCCCAGATCTTCCCCCTTATCCGAGAAACTTATCCGACAACAAAAGCCTCCAACGCCATCCCATCGTCTGCTCCCCCCTCCAATCTCAACAAACCTTGACCATGAAGCGTTATCGTTCTAATATCTACCTTATGCAGCACCTTCAGCCACCAACCACCCACCCACCCCTCCCAATGTTCATCTCTCAAATTTCAAAGCACGTCATTTGACAAGCTTTTATGCCGAAACTTCCTCATCACAGACACAGAAATGAACCCTCTCTTATCATCCCGTTTGTCATTTTTAACCCCTGATAGGACCCTTATTGTGGGGGAAAACAACAAAAACCAGACCATCTCAACCAAACTCCTGCCATCTCATCATGTCCCAACAACCAAGAAAGCACTCACCTCTCAAAAGTCACCTAAGCTCATCACACCACATCAAGATGTCAAGTCACACTATACTAGTAAAAGAAGTATTATTATCAAAAATCAGTAAACCCATCTAAATTCCCAACGCCGTAAACCTGAGAACCCTCAGGTGGAGTTTCGTCTGCGTGCTCTGTGCTCTGTGTGCAGCGTGTATGTAATGCTCAACGACGGATAGACAGACATCCCAGTTCAAAAACGCAAAAAACACACAAAATCCATGCCGTCCAAGTTGAATCGGACCAATAGCGAATGGTGGTGATTACCGTCTTGCTGCAAAGACTCTCGTCCACCCTGTCTTTCTCCTAATGTGTTGTCTGTGCACCCTTCTGCTCTCATCTAATAAACAAAACCACATCCCGAAAAAGAATGCAACCTCAACCCGTGCAATGTTGGTAATGTCATGCCGTCGGCCGTTAAAACATGAAAAAAAACAATAAAAAGGGGGCGACGAGTCGGTTTCTCCTGACCCTCGGACGGAAACCCCCAAAAAGCAAATGGTAAGCATGTAATATGCACCAGCCAGACCCCGCCCCTCGGGGAATCTCACAGCATCCCGTCAAAGGAGAACACACACACACAAATACTGTCTAGATGATGTTTGCCTAGAGCAGTAACCCTACACGATGCCAGCCAAGTCCCACTCCCCCTTCTGCGCCCTCGCGAGCACCTCGCGCCCCTTCTCGGTCAGCTGCGGCTTGCCCTCGTTGCCGACGGCCTGCTCGAAGAAGACGGGCTTGAAGACCTCGCCGGTGCGCTCCCGCTCGCGCGCCTTCTCACGCTGGTTCTCCTCGAGCTCGACCTTGACCGTCGTCGCCTTGGAAAACTGCTTCGCGTGGATGGCTTCCGTGACGCCGGACCAGAGCTGGATCGACTCGTTCGGGAGCTGCTTCTCGGCGGGAGGGATGACCTTGGGCGCGACGTTGAGGGGGCCCAGGTCGATGATGGTGTAGCGGGCTTCCGGGGGATGCGAATCCTGCGGGACAAAGTTAGTTTTCGGAGAGGCGAAAGAGAAAGAGGATTTGCTTACCATTGGCTTAGGACCCAACGTGAACATGACCTTTTCGCGCCAGGGACCGCCCAGACGGGCAACGATGTCCGCCTCGGGGACATCCTTGATGTTCACCTTGTCGTCGTTTTCGGGGTCGTAGCGGAAGATGATGCCCTCGACGCGGTTCGTGGAGCGGCCAAGCCAGCCCGCCTCGACGTAGTTCAGGATCGTCTTAAGCTTGGTCTGCGGACACGTAATGTACGCCATCTCGCTGACGCTGACGGTCAGTGTGCCTCTAAGGATGCCGCCGAGGTGCGCGGCCGGGTGCGTCAGACGGTAGGTCTCGCCGTCGCGGTTGTCGAGCGTGACGAAGATACCGAGGTTATGCTCGCCGGGCAGGACGCGGATGCTGGTGCCGGTGAACTTTGCCGTGATCTGGTCGAAGCCGCGGGCGGACAGACCGCGCTCGGGACAGCTGATCGTGAAGGCGCTCACGGGCGGGTGGTGGGAGGTCTGCTCGGTGAGGTATGACACGAGGACAGGTTTGCTGTCCGGCGTTTGGGTGCCGAGCGGGGGTACGGACAGCGAAACGGCGGAGGCATTCTTGTCGCCCTTTGCAGACTTCAAGCTGGAGGAGCTGCTGGTAGTTCCGCTTCCGGTCTTGAGAGCGGTCGTGTTGATCTTGGGTGCGTTGTTCTCCGTCTCCCAGTTACACTGCCGGGCAGCTGTTAGCATCGCGAGTCATGGGAGCTGCGTGTCGCATAACTATCGCGAGAAGAGGCCAGCACTCACCCTGAAAAACTCTCCGAGGCACGAGTTGTATGGTTTGCAGGGCTTGCCCTTTGCGTACTTGAGGTCCTTGGTGAACCAGAAGCGACAAACCTCGAGCATGCGGTCGAGGGGCTCGTCAGAGGTGCCGATGGCGACGAAGGCGTTAGGCGCATCCAGATATGTCCAATATTCGAGATTTGGCGTCGGCTCGAGGAGTTGGGAGGGGAGGGAGAAGCGTACGGCAGCCAGGTCGGCGACGCCAATGAACCTGGATGGATAGTTGAAGCGGTTAGCAAAGGTTCTCGACTCAATAAAGTTCCCTTTCTGGCGATGATGCGACTCTGCGACTCTGAAGCCTCCGCTCGCGTCGATCATCCGCCATGGCAACCCCGCCCGTGCTCACGACAGACGCTGTTGAAACCGAAGCTCTCTTGTTCCCCCTCCTCCTCGTTGCGTGCGGCGCAAGGCGCAGAGACAGACCGCCACATCAGCTGCGGGTGGGCTTTTTGCTACTCACTTCTTCAGAATACCGATGAAGGTCTTCAGCTTGGAGCCGTCGCTCTGGGTCTCCTCGGGAGCATCGTGGGTAGCTGCGGGAGCCATGGTTGTTGGTGATCTGTCGGATCTCGGGTTGTGACGATGACGGACGATGACGACGGTTCCTCGGTTTCTTTGGTGGCTCTCTGAAAATGCCCAGGCTCGAAAAAAGCGGCTTGCTGCGAGATAAGGTGGGGGGCCGAGAACGGCTGGCGGGGGGGTCTTCCTTTTGGCTTAGAGTGGCCGGGTTCAGAGACCACAAAGGCGGCGGGCAACGATGACGGGGGACGACGACGACGGCGACGACAACGCAAGAAGCTGTTGGCTGCTGCTGCTGCTTCTTCTCGTCACTTCCTTCTTTCTGTCGTCGCGGGCTTCCGACAAGGAGCTTTCAGGGTGTGTTTTTCTCCTGGAACAGAAGAGGACACCGCGTATGGAAATCTTTCGACGCCGGGTCAAAGGTGAGGCAAGGCAGCGTTCCGTTTCGTTTCAGTCGTCCGACTCGTGCGCGGCGCGGATATCCGACAGGCGAGGACAAGGCCGACTGGGAGAAGAAATATGCTGTCCACGGGAGGAGGGAGGGAGGTAGAGTAGAAGAGATTCGGAAAACCAAAGAAATGAAAAGGAAAAGCGGTGGATGGTCTCTTGTCCAGCAGCAGGCGGCAGCAGGGCGGTGGGATAAAGGGAAGAAGATCAGAGAGTAAGTACACTGCAAGAGATGATGCAGATGCAGCGCGTACAAAAAAAGGTTCCAGGCCATGGAGGTACACGTAATGGCACTCGAGGTATGAGATGCACGGCCAAACGCAGAGGAGATACTTTGGGGTACCTTGCCTGACGGACCGAGTCGACCACCTCAGAGCCCAGAAGGCAGTCACAGCAGCTCTCCCCAATGCGATGAGGTGCGCATCACACCCGGAGCGGGAAGCTGCTGAGGGACAGCAGACGGCGCTAAGGCTGTCCACGGGTACCTAGGAGTGCTAGGTCAGGTAAGGTGATGATGGCGGGGAGCCCAGGGGACCTACCTATCCTTCCATGGAGGTAGGTACTTTGGCGTACAGTGTCGCTGTCAGCCGTGTGACGTGCGCCGGTGCCGCTCGCAGCAGCGACGCAAAGGCGCCTTCTCGACCTTTTCGGCGCATTCTTGGCGCGACCCGATAAGGCCTGGGCACTGTCCAAGACGGTCTCTGATAAGGTTTCAGATGGCCGCAATAGCCTGAGGTGCTATGGTGCCCTGCCCGCCCGCGCTGATAACACCGACAGACCCCTCAGTGGCACCTAACTCTTGGGACGATAAGAGCTTCGACACGCTGTTTCCAACACGCGAGGGCCTTGCACCTCTGACTTTTCGCAAGTCAAGACTCCAGTTGTGAGGTTGAGACTGACTCTATCAAAGACATCTCTCCGTATCTCTCTCTGACACTGATTCAGAAGAGA